AACCCCTAACTGAGCCACCCTAGAACCACACAAACCAAGTGTGGTGGCAAACACCTGTCATTTCCGCACTTGGGAGGAAGAGGCAGAAGGATCAGAAGTCCAGGGTGGAAATGGGTTATCGTCATGAGAATTTTGGAATTGTAAAAAACAGATCTTACAAAAACATAGGGTTATTTAAATCCCAGGAGTGGGGATATGAAGCTGCTTTGAAGCAGCTGAATATGATTTGCCTCGTGCTCTAGCAGAGGCATGGTTTTGCCAACTGCAGATAGTTTCTGTGACTGTGTGATATTTGGAATTCTGGGAACTTTTCAGAGTGTATATGAATCCTAGGACCCCAAGAAGCATAGTAGGTTATTGGTTGTTGTTGGTTGCAGTGTGTTAAGTAGTCGTGCACAGAGAAGAAAGAAGAAGAACGAGGAGGAGAAGGAGGAGGAGGAGGAGTAATTAGATATCCTGATGGCAAAGATCGAATTTGCCCCAAGGAGCTCGATGGCCCCAATCAGCAGGAAGTAGTCTGGTGATAGTGTCACCCCCCTTTCCTCTCTATCCTTTTCCTCTCCTACCTAGTGTTAGGTGGTTGAAAGGGTGGAAGAAAGAAGAATCCACAAAATAGCGAAATGCTGGTTACAGGTTATGTTTATCTTCTAATTTCACTCCTGGTACAGTGAACTTGGAGGCCATCGAGGATGGGTATCAGGGGTCTGTTGGGGACCATTAACAAAAAGCTACTTCCTTCTGGTCAAAAGAATAGAATCCGCCTCTGGTCTTGAGTAGATTTCTGACATTCTGATCTGCTCCTGAAAAATAGGACATTACCTGTTCTCTCTGTTCTGCTTCCTTAGGAGTTAATACAGTTGGGCTTGTCAGTCCTAGCCAGGAGACCACCCCTCAGGAAGGCTGGCTCACCAGAGGACATGCTAAGGAGAGGGGAGGAATAATTATCCCCGCCCAGAAAACATACCCTGGGCGGTTGCTTGCAGAGCCCCCGATTGTCCTGCATTTCAGGATTTCTTGTCTTTCTCTTCACTTTTAATATTTTTCTTTTCTTATTCTAGATACTGTCCAAAGCCTGGACTTCCTTACTCTTTCTGATGCAACACACCTCTTGTCTTTTTTTCTTACGAATGGCACAGCTTTTCCGTCTTCCTCCTACTGACAGCTGTCAAGATTACAGCTTGCCTGCCCTGTTTTTTTGTTGTTGTTTTTTTCTTTTTTCTTTTTTTCTCATAAACCTTAATAGAATTGTCCTCAAACTTCCACATAGTGGAAAGAAAAAACTGACTCTGTAATTGGACTCTGACCTCTACACAAGTGTCATGGCACTCAGACATGCACACACACATATACACACATATTCACACATGCATATACATACATACACATTGATAGATGATAGATAGATAGATAGATAGATAGATAGATGTAGATTATTGAAGGCATGACTTTGTCTTTCCCTCTTCCTGCCACTTTTCTTTTTCTCTCAAACACTGAGAAAGTCGCCCTTGAGCGCCCTCCCGAGGCCACCTTTAAACTCTTTTCTTATCGATGAGACTAAGAACTCTTAAGAGAATGCCGGATTCCCGAGTGATAGGAGAATTTGAAAGAGATTTGACTTAGTTCGCTCTTCTGATAAAAGAAAGCGGCGTGAGGGGGTCCTTTCTCGCTCCAGGTGAGCAGTAGCTCAGTGGCTGGGGTCCTGGAAAACCAAGAGCATCAAAGCTACCCCAGCCCCAAGGCTTCCAGGAACCCGAGGACTGAATTTCATGAACAGTGGGGAGGGTGTGTTTTTCTAACTGACAACTATAATGTGTAGGTTCACAGTTGGGAGCTTAAGAGAAGGGAGCAAGAGGAGCTCCCAGACAGCAAATGCAGGCTCAGGGGAAGGGTCGCTGCCAGGGCCTCTTGCCAGGGTTTAATCCTGGTCAGTTCAGTTGTGGCAGTCCTGAAATGTCTGTGTCCCTTTGCCTCCCAGTGTCTGGACTGAACTGCTGGACAACCCCCCCCCCCCGCAGCTTCCAGGGAGCTTCGCTAAGAAAGGCAGCAAAGGGGGCATCCTCCATGGTCCAGGGGGCAGAGCTGCTTGTCGCCAAACCTGAGGAGCCAGTTTCGATCCCAACATTTACATGGCGGGAAGAAAAAGCCAACTGTTGTTTCCAAACTTCCACAGGTGTGGAATTTGTACACACAAACACACAGACACACAAAGTAAAAATGAAAAAAAAAAAAAACTAGAAGAGAAAGAAAATAGTAAATAGGGGAATGGAACTATGGCTCGGCAATTAAGAATGTGTACCGAGCCGGGTGCAGTGGTGCACACCCCTGATCCCAGCACTCAGGGAGGCAGAGGCAGGTGGATCTCTGTGAGTTCCAGGCCAGCCTGGTTTAGGAGTTGAGTCCAGGACAGCCGGGGCAACACAGAGAAACTGTGTCTCAAAAACAAAAAAACATGCCCCCCCCAAAAAAAAAAAACCCAACAGCAACAACAAAAATATGTACTGCTCTTTGAAGAGGACCTTAATTCAGTTTCCAGCACCCATGTTGGGCAGCTCACAAGTGCAACTCCAGCTCCAGGGATGCCATGCCCTTTTCTGGCATCCCCAGGTGCTGCACACACACACACACACACACACACACACACACACACACACATCCCTATAATTAAGAAGAGACTATTAAGAAAGAAGAAGAAAGCAAGCAAAAAAAAAAAAAAAAAAAAAAAAGAAAGAAAATAACTCAGAATCCAAATCAGTGTTTGTCAAACGCTTCTGGCAATACTGGCCTCCAGCAAGGACAGAACTGCCGGGTAGAGTTGCTTCTAGCGGTTTCCTATAAGAAAAAAGAAAGCAGCCGCGAGTGGTAGCACTTTAATCCCATAACTGGGAAGGCAGAGGTAGGTAGATCTCTGTGAGTTTCAGGACAGCCAGGGCTACACAGAGAAACCCTGTCTGGAAAGAAAAGAGAGAGACGCACAACTGGTTCATGAAAGAAAGGAGGCGTATAAATCGTGAATTACCCTTCGAGCATGAGGTTTATTAGGACAGAGGGCCTTGCCTGAAGTCAAGTGGAAGAGCATTCGGAAGAAGAGGTACAGGGCTTCAGCAGAGATGGCTGCCCATCCATGTTCACTGCTGCTTTGTTCCCAGTAGCCAGAAAATAGAAACGGCAATTACCCTGCGATCACAGCGCGACCAGCAAAGGGAAGCTCTGTTCCTGACGGGCTGCGGTATGGCCAGGCTCTGATTCCCAGGGAGCACTGTTAGTGAGCATAAGTGCGTTAACTCTGGAAAGAATTCCTTCGCTCAACCAGGTCCTGAATCCAAACCTCTCGACAGTGCGCAGTCAATGACTACCTGGAAAGAGCAGAGTCCCAAGGCTCTGCAAGGCCTCACTCTGCTGTCCAGGTCGTAGCCCTAAGCGCATTAACTGCTTTTCTTTTTTGTTTTGTTTCGTTGTTTGAGACAAGGTATCTCTTTGTAGCCATGGCTGTCCCGGGCAAGGATGTCCTCTAACTCATGGAGATCCTCCTGCCTCTGCCTCTAGAGTGCTGGAAATGAAGGTGTGCTCTGCAGTGCTCAGCTCCTGGCAGCTTTTCCAGGAGACCTGGATTGGTTCGCTTTGTGAGTTGAGTCACAAACCCCTGTAAGCCCATTCCAGGGGATCTAATGCCCTCTTCTGGCTGCAATGGGCACTGCAAGCAGGTGGTACACACGCAGGCAAAAAAAAAAAAAAAAAAAAAAAAAAAACAACCCATAGACCTGAAAAAAAATTTTTTTTAAGGAAATGAGAAATACAACCTATTAAAAGTGATAGAACAGGGCCCTGAAAAGCAAGAGAGGCTTTTGTTTAAAACCTAGAGGGGCATTTCATTATGAGTGAGAATAAGATGGGGTGCTGACAGACAGAGAGGGAGGGGAGAGAGACAGAGAGAGGAAGGGAAAGAGACAGAGGGGAGGGAGAGAAAGCGAGGAAGAGTGAAAGGGGGGAAGGGAGAGAAACAGAGATACGCACAGAGACAGACAGAGTGTGCAGCTAGGAGAGGAACAGGGTAACCTGGGGCAGAGAAGGGCCTTTGAAGAAATCCCTGCAAAAACGGAGAGCTGGAGTTAACATGTTTTTGTGGGTCGTGGGAGGTTTCACACCTCTTGATTTAGTATTATGGGATAGCTGATGATACCAGCGATTACACGTGGCTTTTAGGCCACAATATAAACAGCTTCTTCTTCTTCTTTTTCATATAATTTATTTTTATTTTATGTTCATGGGTATTTTGCCTGTCTGTGCATGTCTGTCTGTGTGAGGGTGTCAGAAGCCCTGGAACTGGAGTTACAGACAGTCGTGAGATGCCATGTGGGTGCTGACACCATCACATAGGAATGCACACAGAAAAAGCACCAACGCACATAACATTTTTTTTTAAATAAAAAAAAATGAAAGAAAAAGGAAAGTATAACTGGCTTTCACTCTAAGGTTTAAGTAGATTTTTATCTACTTATGGTAAAGTTTGTGTGTATACTTTTCTTTTTTAAATATAATTTTTAATATAGCTTTTAATATAGTTTGTGTGGAACTCTGCTATTAAGGTGGAAGTCTGGCCTTTTCGGATACCCTCTGAGCTCTGTACAAGATGACAACTTTCCTTTCTCAGCTGGATTCCCTCTCTGCCTGACCTGGGGGAACCCAGACCCTCTGAGGAGAGTCACATAGCCCTCAGAAAAAACACAGGCCAAACACTTTTCTGAAAAGAAACCCATCTGTGAATCTGGGGGTTCCTGGAAACACCCACCCCATGTTAATAAGGTGTTAGTGACCTTTGACCACATCTGGAGTTCTTCCCCCACCTATACGATAATTAAGTATTGCTTTCCCCTCTTATGATAGGGCTGTTTTGTTACATGTAGATTAAGTATCCCTATCATCTCTAGCCCCTGGAAGCCCCTCCCACTGTCCAAGGTTTATAATGTCCCTGATTCACGAAGTAAATGCCTCTCTCACTCCACTCCTCCACCATGATCGCCTGAGACTCGTCATTTATTTAGGGAATGAAGGGCTCTCCTCCTCCCTGAAAATTCGCTGCTGAACTCCTGAGGCTTGGCATCACCGCTGGAGCCTGCCCCACTGCCCAGAATTTGGTGCTATCTGCTGGTGAGCACCCGCCAGGCCTGTGTCTCACGGGACCCGCCTTTCAGTCTGCCTGGCCTGTGTCTTGTATTTAGGCTGTGTGTCAACCAGGTATGGGCTTTCACAGGAATCCCTATCGTTAAGACAGTGGCTTAACTGAAGAGCTGTAACACTCTGGTCTCATCACAGGCTTTTGGAACTCCACTGCCGTCTGATACCGGAAAACTCATTTCCACCTCCTGAGGGGAGACCTGGAGACCGGAGAATACTCTAGCTGTTCCAGGGAGAAACAGAACCTTTGATCCTGGGAGTTCCTCTGTTCCTATCGGGAAGCAAACTGCCTGAACCGGCCTTTGAGAGAAACATGTACTTCCGTTTCCCGCCTGGGAGCCCAGCAGTGGAAAGGCAGAATGACAGCCACGTCCAAGGACAACCCAGGCTACTTGTCCCACACAGAACAAGTATGACAAATGGTCCTAGGGGCAGCAGCATAGTTTATCTATTTTGTTGTAGTCAATTTTTGAAGAGTGTCGAGCTATATATTTATGTTTATTTTTATTTGCCCTGTGATTTTCATGGTGGTGTTATCTAACCCGCCATCACAAATAATAAGACGCAGACGAGTGTTAGATTAATAATTGGGTCAGACAGATATCCCTACCTACGCTGTCTGAATCACCTCATCATCCAGCTCCCAGCCCCCATCCAGGGTCATCCTCCTTAAACATCCAGTCTTCCATCCATAATCTTATAAATGCTTGCTTTTATTCTTCATCTGGGCCTTTCCATGCCATTATTGGAGTCCTTCCTCCCAGCCCCACGTGTTTTCTTCTCCAGGCTAACCCATCCTGGCGTCTTCCTTCCTCCTCTGTCTGTCCCCGGTGATTCTCCTGTCCTCTCCAAGCCAGGAACCTTAGCTATGCCTACTCCATTCTGCCCAGGGATAGGCTGTTTAATCAACCAATCGGGGATGTCTTAGGCAGGTTTACAAAACAAGGATGGGAGTAACCAGATCTTGAGGAGCAGTGACAGGCGTCAGACCAACCCCCAACACTGTTTATATTTTTTATATATGTTTATATATGTTATATTTTTTATATATTTATATATGTTTGTGTGTGTACATCTGTGGGTGCTTGTAGAGGCCAGAAAAAGGCACCAGAGCCACTGGAACTGGAGTTACAGGCAGTTGTGAGTTGCCCGAAGTGGGCAGTGAGAGCCAAATGGCCCCTCTGCACAAGCAGTCACTCCCCTCGGCTTTACCGTGAACCATCTCTCCAGCCCATTTTAAAACGATCTCCACGTTTCATTTCCATCTTATTTATTTATTTATTTATTTATTTATTTATTTATTTATTTATTTAGAGACAGCCTCACCTAGCTTCCCCTGGCCTCCGAGACACTACTTTAGTGAGGAATGACCTTGAGCGAGCATCTAGTCCTTCTGCCCCCAAACACCCAGTGCTGAGACCATAGGACCGTACTTTACAGCTCCTGGTGCCTCCTCCACAAGATCCTAACATGTTTTCCCGTGTAGGATATAACTCAGTGGGAGAAAACTTGCCTTGCCAAGGCGTGAAGCCCTGCTATGGTCTCCAGCACTGGGGGAAAAAAAGAAGGAGGAAAGAAAACAGTGTTTTGCTATTGGGGAGGAAAGTTCTGGGTACTCCTCATTATACTTGAGAGCCTGATTGCCCTTGCTTTTTGTTTGTTTGAGACAAGGTCCCACCATGTAGCCCTGGCTGACCTCTCTATGTAGACCAGGCGGGACTTGGAGCCCAGATCTGCCAGCCTCTGGAGTGCTTGGATTTGTCTGTACCAGCCCAGGTTTGACGTTCCATACCTTTAGTCCCAGCATTCACCAGGCAGGCGGAGGCAGGCAGATCTCTGCGAGTCCCAGGCCAGCCAGGTCTGCAGAGTAAACTCCATGATAGCCGTCTATGTAGAGAGACTGGTGTAGTTTGAATGAGAATGATCCACACAGGCTCATATATTTTCATGTTTAGTCCCCAGTTGATAAACTGCTCCGTAGGATTAGGAGGTGTGGCCTTGTGGGAGGAGGTGTATCTGAGGCTCTCAGCTACTGGCCCAGAGCCATGCCTGTCTGCTTCCCACCACGACGGTGACGGACAAAACCCTGTGGGACCATAAGCAAGCTCCTAACTAAATGTTTTGTTTTTTTTTAAAGGGTCACTGTGGTCATGGTGTCTCTTCACAACAACAGAACAGTAACTGAGAAAGAGACTCTGTTTTAAAAAAAACAAAATAAACAAAGTCTGTACCACCCAATCCAGTTACACACCCTGATTGTTAAAACTTACATTCTAATAACATAATAACATTTCCAGATGATAGTAGCATTTAAAGTTTTATTGTAAAAACAATATGACATTAAATAAAAACATTGGAAAAACATCATTCATAATCTCACCACCTTAACAAATATTTTCATTTCTGTGTATTTCTTTGTAGCTCTCTTCCACACACCTAATACATATATATCCACGCAGGCAACAGTCAGCTATTCCTTCTGGCATTGGAATGTTTGAGACATTCTTTAAACTCATTTGACAACAGGAGCTGTCCTTTTGAATATTTACATAGGTATAAACTTAAGGTCTTAAAATTTTTAAACACTAAAGAACGAGGGTGTCTTGCAGTCCTGCAAGGAAAACACCCAGAACCCACCACAGAATGAGATGGAAAATAAGTGAATGACAGGAGTATTTTTCCAGAATGTATTTTGTCCCACTTGTCATAGGTCCATTTGTCAGTTCTCGAGAACCACAAGAAACTTCATTTGAAGTATGGCTTTGACCTGTGTTGCCCATAGCCAAGCTTCCCATGTTGAAGGCCGAGCACAACTGTACCGCAGGAGAAAGCATACAGACAGCTGCAGACCGGGAGCCTCTCTTTTGCATCTGTGGAGAGTAAGTCTGTAACCAGGGTGTACGCTTCCATTCCGGTGTGTGCGAAGAAAATTAAGAATATTGTTTAAAATTGCAAGTTGATAGTGGAGTCATTTGAAGGTGCCTTTCCCTGCTGGGTTATTAATGTTGCCTGTCATCTTTAACTTTTTTAACTTACTCACAAACATTGTGGTTAGAACCTGTTGATACAACAGGTAGATGGAAAACCTTTGAGTTCATCATAGATCCACCATCACACCTAGAAACAACCTCTGCTACATGGTTCCCCAAGGTTAGGAAGCCAGCGTAGCACCCCCCCCCAAACTTAATGACAAATCACAAGGGGCTTGTCTTTATAATTTCCCAGAATCCCTTGAGGTGGCCTGAATGCTGCACAAATCAGACCGCAAATAAGATTTAGTTATGTTATTTTGTGTGCACGCCTGTGTGAGTTGGTGTGCGGTATCCTTATTGGCCAGAGGAGGGCAACAGATACCCTGGAACTGGAGTGACAGATGGAGTGAGTGGCCCTGTTTTGGGTGCTAGGGACTGAATCCTGGTCCTCTGCAAAAGCAGTAAGTATTCAACCTGTGAAACATCTTTCCAGCCCCTAAAGATAAATACTCAAACTCAGACCTGAGAGTCTGGATTTAAATTCCTTGTGTGTTTACACACTGCACATAGATAGCACACACACCTTAACTTCTGGTTTCGTTTGCACCGCTGGGAATTGAATCCAGGGCCTTGACGGCTACGGGTCAAGCCCGCTACTGCTGAGCCACACCCCAAACGCCACGCTGGCTTTTTAAAGTCTGTCCTCTAACGATATGTGGGCTGAAATCACCCTAAGCTTAATTAATTTTGATTTTTCAAAAAGTAAACACTTGTTATATTTTGCAACATCTATGATTTATTTTGTGTGCATGGAGAGGGGCCACACACATGTCACAGTGCACGTGTGAAGGTCAGAGGACAACCTTTCAGAGCCTGCTCTCTTCTTCCACCATGTGGAAGGGTGAACTCAGCCTGTCAGGCTTGGCAGGGAGCACCCTTAGCCTTGTTAGCCTAACTTTTAAAACTATTTTTTAATATGCTATATTGTTAGCCAGGCATGTTGGCGCACGCCTTTAATCCCAGCACTCTGGGAGGCAGAGGCAGGGGGATCACTGTGAGTTCCAGGCCAGCCTGGTCTACAAAGCGAGTCGAGGACAGCGAAGGCTGTGCAGAGACACCCCGTCTTGAAAAAACAAAACAAACAAAAATATCGTCTTCAATTACGTGTATGCATCTGTGCACCCGAGTGCAAGTGCCCACAGAGGCCGGAAGTGTCTGATCCACCAGGAGCTGGAGTTACGGTGGGTGCTGAGAATCGAACCTGTGACCTCAGGAAGAACAGTATGTGCTCCTTACCTCTGAGCCATCCATCACAGTGAACGCTAAGGAGGAAGGGAGCAACTTAAAAATAAACCAATGTGTAGGGAGGGGGAAATGCATGCGGCATTACCAGGGACCCCATGCTAATTAAACATCTCCTCAGCCAAAACTGCTTTCCAGTTGCTCGGCAACACACAACCTTTCTGCCCTGTAAACTGTGGGGCAAAGTTGAAGCTGGGTCTTTAACACCACCCTAAATATTTCCCCCTGTGGCGTTTTAAAGCACATATTTTTATAATACATTAAAAAAAAAATCATCCAGCTGGTTGTGGCTGCCCACACCAGTAGCATATTCTGAAGAGGCCGAGGCAGGAGGCTCAGCACTTCGAGGCCAGTCTAGGCTACACATTCAAAGCAGGGCATGGTGGCACATGCCTTTAATCCTAGCTCTCTGGAGGCAGAGGCAGGAGGATCTCTATGGGTTCAAGGGCAGCCTGGTCTGCATGATAAAGTCTAGAACAGCCAGGACTACATCCTGTCTTAGAAAAATAATTATCTGCAATTCTTCCTGCAACCTGACTACTGTAATCACTAGCAGTTCACAACTGGCTCAGACCCTTCCCTTGATAGGTGCCCCGACATCCCAAGTGTCTGTCTTTTTAATATTAATAAAGTTTGGAGGGTTAGAAGGATTGAGTTTGATGCTTCAGGCATGCTAAGCAAGTGCTCTGACATCAGGCGACAACCTCAGCCCTCTCTTCAGTCTTTGAGAAAGAGTCAGACTAAGTTGCCCAGGTTAGCCCTGAACTCATACTGCAGCCCAGGCTAAATCTTGAACTTGTGACCTTCCTGCTTCATTCTTAAGTAGCAGGCCTGCACAAAACCCAGCTTAGCTCATGCATTTTGAATTTTTTTTTTTCCTATCAGCCGTATCAAGTAGAAGACCATACCAAATGTCTCTGGAAAACGATTCACTTCAATAGCAAAGTATGAACAGAACCAGGATTCCGTCAGCAAGCCAGTTCACGAATTACGCGTAGAAACGAGAGTGGACACATTAGTTAGAAAACAGCCAGTTACACAAGGCAAGAAGAGGCTCTGCCCGTGTTCGGGAGCAGTTGCCTCAGACACCGTCAAAATACCAAAGAAGTAACCTCCTATGGAGCGTTTTCAAAGTCAGTGAGCTTCTTGGGTTCATGGTAGTGTTTCATCTGGCCTTTTCTCTTTGCGACGTTTTATCACCAATTGCAGTGATCCAAGAACCATCCCAAAAAAGGTGGGCATCTTCTGACCCAGCTAATTAAGCAGCCAAAGGATGGCCAAGCGGGGGGAGTGACAAGGTCCCGACCCCCAAGGGGTTGCACAGCTGTATCCGACATACTACATCTTTACATTATGATTCAAAACAGCAGCAAAGTTACAGTTCTGAAGCAGTAAGGAAATCATTTTACGGTGGTGGTGGTGGGGATCACCACAGCATGAGAAACTGCATTAAAGGGTCCCAGCATCAGGAAGGTTGAGAACCTGTCTTAATGGATTGCTCCAGTGCCCAATGGCTTGTGTCGTCAATATATGCTACAGAACACTTTTAAGAAAGTTATATTTGTGTGTATGTGTGCACATGCACCACACATGTGAAGATGCCACGGAGGCCAGAAGAGGGCGCCAGACCCCCACTGAAGCAGAAGTAAGGCGGTTATGTGAATCATAACCGCCGAGCCACCTGAAAACTGCTGATAAGAACAGAGAGAGAGAGCTACAGCCTCAGAAACAGCAGGCTGGCTTCGCCAGTTGTTCTCAGAGGCATTTCCTAACGCTATGTCACCGAATGCCTCCAGACTTCTCTTGCTTGAGAGAGGAGTCAGTAGGGAAGGTGACAAAAGAGCCCATGTTGTGGTTTGCGTGAGAGGCAGAAGTTTAAACGTTTCCACGTCACCTCTAAAGACATCCTGGGAAAGCAGGAGCAAACAGGTTTAAATCGGGATCTAACCAGAGCCCAGAGGAGGCAGGGCCTCTTATTCATAGTTATTATAAAGGTCTTGTTAGCTACAAGACCTGTGGGTTTTTAAAAGCACAATCAAAGACACCTGCAAACAGATTCCACATTTCCCTTTTTGAGGCGCCGGAATGTGTAGGAAGGGAGAACGAATGGGAGCAACACCTAAAACCAGGAGACAACACTCCTGCCCCTATTCACTGGTGACCGTTAGCCTCGCAAAGGAGGGGGCTAGCCTGGCACAGAACTGCCATTTCCCTACACCTGGTCCTCTTTCTCACTTAAAAAGCATCGTCGTCGTCGTTGTCGTCGTCATCATCATCATTATTTTGTGTTTATAGAGTTTGCCTGCATGTGTGTCTATGCAGCCTGCCCCTGCATGCAGTTACTCTAGAGGCTAAAATACGGTGTCGGATTGCCTGGGACTGAGATGACAGGGGTTGCTAGCCACCCTGCGGTGCTGAGGATCGAACCCAGGTCCTCTGGAAAAGCAGCCATTGCTCTTAACCACTGAGCCATCATTCCAGCCCCTTCCTTGTCACTTTCAGAGTTTTTTTTTAATACCATTTCCAGCCAAGCAAATCTTTGATTTCATTCCAAATCACCTTTTGAAAGTTAAAGGCATCTGCTTTCTCAGCCCCACGTCAAGAATACAATTAAAACAAGACAAAACAACAACAAAACGATTTAGTTTTAGTTATGTGTATGTGTGGAGACTGTGAGGACAAGTGCTTGAGGAGGCCAGAAGAGGGCGCCAGACCTCTCCTAGAGCTGGCATTAGGGGCAGCTGTGAGCTGCTGGGGGTGGGTGCTGGGAACAGAATTTGAATGCCCTGCAAGAACGATACATATTTTTTCTTTTCTTGGTGTTTTGAGACAGGGTCTCTCTATGAGGCTCTGGCTGCCCTGGATCTCAGTCTGTAGACCAGGCTGACCTCCAACTGAGCGATCCACCTGCCTCTCTGCCTCCAGGTGCTAGGACTAAAGGTGTGCACCACTGTGCCCAGCTACAATACATACCTCTAACTGTTGAGCCATCTCTCTGGCCCCCCAGAATATAGGTTTTAGAAGAGAGATGAGGATTCATATCTAGTAGCCTACATGCACGTGTAAAAAGTTCTCTAAGCTTGACTCATTTGGCATATATGAGCTTGTGGCCCAGTTTCCTTCATACAAAAACAAGTGAACAGACAAACAAACCGACAAACAAAAGCAACCTAGCTTTGGTACTAATATGCTAGTCATTCTTTCAGAGAGAAGGGGGGGAGTGTGTGTGTGTGTGTGTGTGTGTGTGTGTGTGTGTGTGTGTTTAGAGCTCCTTAAATTCCAAATGAAAGCCGTTACATTTTGAACTCAGCCTCGGCCGACAGGCTCACAGCTTCTGAGCACTGGAGATGCCAGCATTGTCCTTTCCTGTAGCGTGGGGTCAGACAGTCCGGCAGCGCTCTAAAAAACCTAGCGCTCCCATTGGCTGGCGAGTAAATTCCAGGGATAGATAGGATTAAGAGCTTCAAAGAGGATTCCCCGGGCCTCCCTCGAAGGAGGGTCAAACACTGTGGTCTAATTCTGGGATAAGATAAACCCCAGGGAAGGAGAACGTGCCTGCTTACATAGCGCTGCGGCCCTCCGCAAAGCGGCAGCATCCGGTTCGCCGCCCCCCCCCCCCCCCCCCCCCCCCCCCCCCACACACACAAGGCAAGCGTGCAGTGGCTCCAACTCCAGCCACCACATCGACCTGGAACGACCTTCTTGGGTTGGTTGCCTAAATGGGGTCAACAGCGCAGACCCTCCCGTAGCTGCTGCTCCCGATGACTAACGGGCGATCTCTGCCAAGTGCACTAGTGTACCACAGCGAAAGCACTTTGCGTGAGCCCCCATCAGCACACCCATCCCAAAGCTCAGACCCCAAAGGATTAAGGTAATAAAACCCATTTACATTTCACCGCGATTCGTTTCTTGTCTAGGGAATAAAAACGACCCCTTTACTGTGCTCGATGAAGGTCTACACCTTTCCCAAACTGTCCTGTCTAAAGCGGAGTGGGAGCTACCGACGAGGGTGAGGTCACCAAACTGGGGACGTACGTGTTTACCCAATCTGGGGTCACCGTGGACCGATTTCTATTAATAGGAGCTAAAGCTCCTGCAGACCGCCCCGCGCGGTTAACTCCTCTCGGGCCAGGGAGTTAAAAACAAAACAAAACAAAACAAAAAACAAAACAAAAAAACAAAACAAAACATGTCTTGCCCAGGCAGAGGTGCGCCCCGAAAGGATCGTGTTCGTACGCACACACCCGGATTCACTACCTCTCTCAACAGGCTAGACCTCACGGGCATGCCCTGGAAGGAGAAGGGACAGCAGATGGCCCCTTGGAGGTCTGTCAGCTCAGCTTTGCCACACACAAGGCGAGGGCCACGGCCACCAGCAGCACGGCGCTGAAGACGGTGGCGGCCAGGGCCTTACTGGGGTCGCAGGGTCCCGCGCGCTCCTCCACGGAAACGCCCCCGACGGAGGACGCACCGGCGTTGGCTCCGGACAGGAGCTCGGCGCCCGCCGCCTGCCGCGCCTGGACGGTCCAGCGGGGCACGTTGACTTTCATCTCCATGTCGTCGATCATCTCGCCCACCTGGAGGACCTCGCGCTCCAGCTGGGGCAGGTCAGCGACGTCGATGTCGCCCTCGGCCTCGTGCCGCAGGGTGCGGGCGCTCAGGGCGCGCGCGGCCACGGCGGAGGAGCCGCCGGCCACCCCGGTGCGCACCAGGGGCCGGAGCGGCGCGTGCAGCGGGAAGGCGGCCCCCAGCGCCAGCGCGCGCTGCATGTCAGCCTCGAGCAGGTCCAGGCAGCCCGAGAAGGCCACCCAGAGCCGCTCGAACTCCGCGCGCTCCTCGGAAGCTAAGCCCCGGTCGCGCAGCGCCGCGGTCAGCCGGGAGCCGGTGGCCACGGCCAGCTCGCGCGCCTTCTGGCGGGTCTTCTGCAGCTCCTCGCGTAGGTCCTGCGTGTCCGCGGAGCCGCCCACGGTCAGCACCAAGTGATGGTAGCACGCCGTGGTCTTATTGAGCGCGTCCAGCAGCGCCTTGCACTCCTCCCTCGCCATGGCGGTGCCCTCCGGCGGCGGCGCCCCACTCGCCCCCTTCAGCATCGCAGGTCGCCTCCCGCCTCGACGCCGGTCTTGGGCCAGGCGGACCGAACGCTCCTCATCTCCTCGCCGCCGCTCTCCACGGGGCTCTCCAGCGACCCTCGACGTGGGCCTCCGAGGTCCCCGAGCGCAGAGCAAGTCTGGTTAGCTACCTCCCATCCGCTCCTCCATTTCCCCCTCGACGCGCTCCGGGTCACGCGCAGTGTCTCTGCACAACTTTTTCCTTCACGGCGGCTCCCTGGGAAGCGCAGAGTGCAGACCCCATCCTTGGTCGATCCCACGTCTCCAAACTGAGCCGCGCGCCTTAGCCCAGCCAAGGGCAGCAGGATCCAGTTTCCTAGGACACGCCTCCCGCCACGGGTCTGGGCCCCGAGCTCCCTCCCCTTGGACCAGGGGTAGGCGGGGCCCGGCCAGGGGAGGTCAAGTGTGGCTTTCCCTCCAGTCCCTCCCGTGCATACATTATAATTCTGGAATTTTAAGCGCCCCGCAAGTCCAACTTTTTCCTGTTTTGCAGACGAGGAAAGCTGAGGCTCGGTAGAAAGAGGTTTAGCCTTCGGAGCCCATGCTAGTGAGGGGACAGGACCGAGGGACACTGACTCCTAGACCCTGTGGACAACAGAGCAATGTGGCTCGGAGGACTGGGCACCTCCGGTCTGCGTCGCCGGCAGCACGGGGCGATCGGCCCGGTAGGCTGGCTACTTAGGTGGGGCTCTCCTTCTCCATCGCGGTCCAGCCCGGTTTCAGGGACTCAGCTTGGACCCCACCCCTAATGTCAGATCTCTATTAGGGCCCGCCTCTCTCATTCTGGGCACGCGCACTCTCTGGCTCTGGGCGGGGCCAGCCTCAGTAGGAAGCGCGGAGTGGCCTGAGCCCCACCCCCGACTCAACTAGACTTAATGATTGCTCTGTGGACGTGTCAGTCTCGGCGAAGGTGCCCTCTTATTGGACAGATTAAGGCAAGGCTCTGCCCAACGGCGGAGTAAAGAGGTTGGGTGTAGAGTGGAGCCGCCGCACCCGGGTGGTGGGCGCTCAGGTCCCAGCCCAGGGCCCGGGAGGTGCTGTCGTAGCACACAGGTGAAACTATGTAGCCTCTTAAGTAAGTGTCTTCGGCGGGTGTCCTCTAGCGTCTCCCTACTCTGGTGGGGGGCGCCGAGGTCGGGCGGGGTCCGGGAGCGGAAGGGGGAGGGGTTCCCTGTGCTGAGCCGAAGCCCCAGGCTGGGCTAATGGGCCCCCCGGGCCCAGGACCCGTTCCGGACTGAGCCTCCCAGTCCTCCCGTTCCTCTGCTGTCCGCAGAGCGGCGCGCACGCCGTCCACTGCGTCCGGCGGGAAGGCGAGGCGGCGCGGAGAATGCGTCCTCTGTCCCCGGGGCTCCAAGGCAGGCCCGGGTCCCCGGAGCTGGGACTTGGGGCAGTGGGCGGAGCCGTCGCTCGCAGGCCTTGTAGCCGGGGGGTTTTCCGGTGGCCAACCTGGATACTTGGGGAGGAGGTTGTGTGTACAAATAAGTCCCCGTGGAGGCCAGCTGATGGTGGTCCCCGCAAGGGCTGAGGGTGGACAGAGTACCCCCGCCTGCTTAAAACGTGGCGAGGTCCTCTTGTCCAGTAGATAGAGAAAGAATACTTACGGAAAACTCTTAGGTAGGTACCCAGAGACGTTCATCGCTCAGAGTCTGTTCAGTTTCTTGGTGGAAAACGGACTGCCTAGATGCGCGCGCGCCAGGCGGTGCCCCTCCAGCTTCCCCTCCAGCTGCAGGGGACGTGGACACTCGCAGCGGGTAGCCAGAGAAACATCATCACTGAGGAGTAAGGGACTCAGGGCAAGAGGTCTGGTGAGACTGGACAGACGTATTGCTCAGTGGCTGGGATTTTTTTTTTTTTTTTTTTTCAGTTCTGTGGTCAGAGACTCGTGCTTTCATTAAACATTATAGACTTTCCGTTGACCCCGGAGCGCAGCCACGCATATTAGCATTTTGATAGCCCCTCCCCCCCAGTGCAGGCCTTGGTGGTGTGGCAGCCCAGAGGGTCTAAGAGCCCTGAACCCCAGTTCGTACTGTCTCTCAGGGATCGGTCACTTGGCCAGCTTAGCTGGCCGTTTGCATCCTGAACTTAGCTGTTGTAGGACTTGGCCATTGTCTGAGGAGATGGTGGCAGCCACACAGGGGCCACCCATGGGTCTTGATAGTTTCAGAACCCATCCCTTTGGGAAGCTGTAGGAGGATGGGGAATGATGAGGCTGCAAAAGTGGACAAAGGCCGAACAGCAAGTACAGACCATTTAGCTGGTTGGGGCCTCAGAGGGGAAGACAAAAATACTGCATAGACCTCGCTGTTGGAGAGGTCACTTGGATATGGCTCACCAGGACAGGTGTGTGTATGAGATCTGAGAGGCAGAGGTAGAGGAGTCGCTGTTGGGAAAGCAGACAGGGTCTTGAAGTTGGGTGAAGGTGTGTATTCCCAGGTTAGACCTTGGGTGAGCTCCCTCAGCAGGCAGCAGCACTAGGAGAGCAGAGGTAGTGCCTGCATAGCCCTTGGGGTCAAGGTCACGACTGGGCCTCTGAGTTCCCTCCGGACTGTGCCGTCCTCATACCAGGCCGCTGCAGGCTTTTTGTTATTGATCTGTCTGTGTGCCGTTCAATGATTTCCCGCTGTTAGGACAACTCCCTGATTTTTAGCTGGCGACATTGGGCTGGTGTCCGATAACTTCTTCCTCTCCGAGGGGTGCTGAGGAGCAACCAAACGATTATAGATAGCAGACTTGGGGAGGAGTCAGTTCGGTGTTAGGAGAGGTCGGCCAGGTTTGGGAGATACTAAGAGAGGGTCCTACCCATCTGCCTGAGAACCTAGCAAGGGGATGGGCGCATGGCAGGGTGATAGGGCGGCATTCTGGGAAGTGATCATAACCCCTCCAGACTTAGCTGCCTCCCTGACCCTTTCAACCTAACAGCGCCTTTCCAGTGTCACCCTGTTTGACCAGCTTCAGTGTCTGGTTTATTTGGGGCACCTTCCCTTTTTACTTGCATGGCTGTGGCCTGAGATTAACCCTTCACCCACCTGGGAGAGGCAGCTGCCCTCTGGCTTCCTCCCAGCCTCCCAGCGAGCCAGATGCGGATGTTGAAGCCCAGTGCTTTAAGGAGGGGTTTTAAGAAAAATATGGCCCTGGGTCTGTAAATGTTACAGGGCCAGAAGGACTAGTGATAGGAAGTGCAGAGCACATCCTTCCCGTGCTTCCGTTGATATTAAAAATAGATGAATAGAAAGTTTTCCTGCCCCCACCCTTTGAATCATGTATCACTGGAGGGCCTTGCTCATCACTTGAAAAGCGTGCCTGCTCAGGGTCCTGTCACACTTCGAGGTAGTGCCTCTCTGGGAGGAGCAGGCCTGCACCCTATCACAAGACTCATCCGGGTCGTCAGGACGGTTGAAGACCACAAAACCACAGTGCCCTGTGTGCACGCTGTGTCCTGAAATGTTCGGACTGATGGGAAGCCTCAAGGCTGTCCTGTTCACAGGGTGGCTGGCCTCAGGTAGCTCGAGCTCGGGGGCTTTTGGCATCTCTGACTTAATGCTACTGACTTCCGTGAATTATCACTGGAGGTCTGGCAGGGATGGGCAAGACCCCCTGGTCTTGGTTTCTTAAGACTTTTCTGGACTCATCTTAATTAAAAAATAATAATAATAATAATAATAATTCCGGGTGTGGTAGTGGACATCTTTAATCCCAGCACTCAGGGAGGCACAGGCAGGTGGATCACTGTGAGTTCCAGGCCAGCCTGGTCTACAAATCCAGTCCGGGACAGCCAGAGCTACACAGAGGAAACAAAAACAAGAAAATCCAGGTTGTCTGCGCAAAACCCTCCTGAATCCTTAGCATCACTCTGGTACATCATGGCATGGTCTCATCTCCAGTTCTCCCCATCCGCTGCTATTCCTTTTCCTCTCTGGCTTGTATCTCCTAGCTGAGAGGGACGATTCTGGAGCTTTGCCAGCACGACATGTTCTTCCCCAGCTTCATCTCCCCATAACGTCCATCCTGTTTCTCAAGTGGTCTTTATCCATAGCATCTTCTGCTGTCTCACTAGGCCCTGAGGAACCAACTGTCAGAAACGGGAAAGAACGCCATTCCCTTGTGGCTCTGTCTTGGCAAATTGCATTCTCCCCTTCTGCTGGGGACTCGTAGAAGGATTACCTGGCTCTGGCAATAATTGAATTCAGTGAATCAAATATCTGAACTGTTACCAAGGTATCCCTAGGGGCACAAGAAGGAATTATTTCCACCCCCTTTTTTTGGGGGGGGTTGCTCTTCTTAAAAGTCCCCTTAGCTCCTCGGGTCAGGCCCCAATGGGGCCAATAGTCAACTCAGCTCTCATTGGGCCACGAGATTTGGTGTGGGGTTCTTGTGGCTGTCAGGGAGACTTTTCCATCTGGACAGATGGAGTTTGATCTTGTCTGTTTTTTTGGCTCATGAAATAACTATTTTGGGGTGCTATTCTCTCCATCACTAAAAATGTTATTTTAAGCATTTGGGGGTGTGTGTGTGTGTTTTGGGCATAGAAATCACAGGACAGGAGCTGGAGAGGTGGCTTTGAGGTTAAGAGCACTGGCTGCTTTCTCAGAGGACCCGGGTTCAAGGCTCAGCACCCACATGGCTCACTACCATCTGTAATTCCAGTTCCAGGGGGATAGGATGCCCTCTTCTGGCCTCCACATATACCATGCATGCACATGGTAGGCAGAACACCCATGCACATAAAATAATTAAGAAAAACAATAATTTAGAAAAGAAATTCCAAGACGGAGTGCAGGAGTCAGTTCTCTCCTTCCGTGCGGGGGTTGTGGAGATTGAACTCAGGTCATCAGGGTTGGCGGCAGGCACCCTCATCCACTGAGCCATCTATCTCACTAGCCATATTAGTTTGAATTTTAGAACAATGATTGTATATTGAAAGTATATTTTGGATAGGTTATAATATACAAAATGTTTTTTTTTTTAATTTTTTTATGTGCATTGGTGTTTTGCCTGCATGTTTGTCTGTGTGAGGCTTTCAGATCTTGGAGTTACGGGCAGTTGTGAGCTGCCATGTGGGTGCTGGGATGTGAATCCGGGTCCTTGGGAAGAGCAGTCAGTGCTCTTAACCGCTGGGCCACCTCTCCAGCCCCAATATATAAAATGTTCGCTGTTTTCTTTTTTTAAACAGTGGCTACTAGACCTGGTGGTACACACCCGGAGTCCCATATACTTAGAGAATTGAGTTACAAAGATCACAGGAGGCCAGGGGCTTGAGACCCATCTGGTACAATAAAAACAGAACAAGTACAGCTGGCCGGCAGGGTATAGAGTCAGCAAACATACTTGCTGTCAAGGCTGAGGACCTGGATTCCACCTGTGACCTGCCCACAGGTTGGAAGGAGAGAACCAACTCCCGCGAGTTGCCCTCTGACCCTTCCACGCACACTGTAGCGCCCCCCCTGTGCAAGACCCCCCCCGAAAAAAAAGTAGAAAATATAATAATTCAAAACAAAACAGATAACAACAAAAGTTTCTATTTGAAAATGTAACAATTCAAACCAAAACGAATACAATAAAAATTTCTATTCAACCATATGGTCTGTGTCTGTAATTCTATTTTTCATCTATCTCTTTTTGAGCAGCCCTGGTCTAGACCGTTGAAACACAAGCACGGCATGGAAATAGGACAGACACACACAAGGACTTGGAGTATGGCAAAGACAGCTTTCCTATGCATGGAAGACGGAGATAATGCCAAAAGTGACTCTGGGACAATTGGCTTACCATATGGGAAAGTGAAATTAACTGCTGATTTATAGCATATACAGAAATAAAATCCAGATGGGTTGGAGACAGACATGTGAGAAGTTTGGGGAGTTTATAAGTTACAGGCTATGTTGATGGTGCTGGAGGGGGCCTGGTTTCAGGTGGCCTTTGCTCTGTAACCAGGTCCGAACTTGACAGCTCTCAGCTGCCCTTGCTTCATTATTCTCTGGATATTTTTGTTGGCCTCCCTTGGCATAACTGTGACTGCATTTTGTTCCTGCTTGGCTGTGCTCATTAGATCACATGGGCACCTCTCCCCTCCATGTTTGTTGTTTTTGTTTTTTCGAGACAGGGTTTCTTTGTGTAGCCCTGGCTGTCTTAGAACTCACTCTGTGTACTAGGGTGGCTTTGAACTCAGAGATCTGCCTCCCTCTGTCTCCTGAGAGCTGGGATGAAAGGCATGCATCACCACTGCCCAGCTCACCATTTTGTTTTGTTTTCTTAGTTGGGCTGTTTCCCAGCATGCTTTTATTGAGGTATCTTAAGAATGAGGATGGAATATACAAAGCCTTTGGATGCCGATGCTCAGAAATCATAGCCTGTTAAGTCAGGCCACAGGGCTGGCTCCGGATGAAAGAGCATAGAGAAAGCTGAGCATGGCGTTGTAGACCCCAGAGCTGGGGAGACTGAGGCAGGAGGATCCTGATTTCGAGGACAGCTTGGGCTGCATACAGAGCAAGACTCTGCTTCCAAAGCAAATGACAGAAATCAAGAGGATGGGCATTTAGCTCATTGGTAGAATGCCTGCCTAGTAAGCACAGACCTTGGGCTCAGTCCTTAGAGCTCTCTGTGTTGTGTGTGTGTTTGTGTGTGTTTGCATGCAAGGGTCTGTGGGTAACCACAACCGAAAAGCCAAGACCACAACCAGCGATGCTGGGTGTGGCAGCAAAACCCTTTATTCCCGAAACTGGGAAACAGAAGCAGGTGGATCTCTTTGAACTCAAGGTCAGCCTGGTCTAGAAAATGAGTTCCAGGTTGACTGCTACATAGTGAGGCCCTGTCTCTATTCATAGCCTTTCCCTCCTTCGTTCCAGGAAGCTCACTGGGACCCCTCTGAAGTCCATATGGCTCTGTATGATGAAGACCTCCTGAAAAACCCTTTCTACCTGGCCCTCCAGAAGTGGCGCCCCGACTTGTGCAGCAAGGTGGCCCAGATCCATGGCACCGTAAGTCTACGGGTTCTGAGGGTTGTCCCCAAGGGTGAGCAATGCCAGAAATGTGGCAGGCTGATTCGACATTTAGAGGAAGTCAGTTACAAAGCCGCCCTGTGTCCCCCTCCCCCAGGAGGGGGCTGTTACGCCGTGTGGGGGCCCCTCAAACTCCTGCCTAGATGAAGCCTCCCGAGACTGAAGCCTGGTGTCTTAGGGTTTCTAGGGCTGTGATGGTATACCATGACCAAAAAGCAAGACGGGGAGGAAAGGGTTTCTGTGGCTTATCCTTCCTTATTGCTGCTGTTCATCATCAGAGGAAGTCAGGGCAGGATCCTGGAGGCAGGAGCTGATGCAGAGGCCATGGAGGGATGCTGCTTACTGACTTGCTTCCCCTGGCTTGCTCAGTCTGCTTTCTTAGGGGATCCAGGACCACCAGCCCAGGGGTGGCACCATCCACTATGGGCCAGGTCGTCCCTCATCGATCACTAATTAAGAAAATGCCTCACAGCTGGATCTTATGGGGTCATTTTCCCAATTGAGGTTCCCTCCTTTCAGATGATGCCAGATGAGGTCAAGCTGACATAAAACTAGGCCACACACCTGGGTTGTCATCCGCCTCCACACTCTTGCCCGTTGTCCGTGGTGGATCATGCCTTTGTCCTGGTACTCAGCTCTCTCGTTCCCTTGTTGGCTTTCAGTGCTCCTAGAAGGCAGACATCATGGTTCTGCCCTGGTGCTCAGCAGTTCATATCTGCTCAGTTGGGTGTGCTGTGGAAGCAGGGAGCTTGTGAGGTCCTACGTTAGTGGCATGGTTAGCTTTAAATGTCAGCTTACAGGGCCTCGTGTTCATTGCCTAAGAGTACTTACAGCCGTACTGGAGAGATGGCTCAGCAGTTAAGAGCACTGGCTGCTCTTTCAGAGGTCCTGAGTTCAATTCCCAGAAACCCCATGGTGGCTCACAGCCATCTGTAATGGAATCTGATTCCCTCTTCTGCTGTGCATGAAAACAGAGCACTCTTACACTTAATAAATAAATCTTTTAAAAAAAAGAAAGAAAGCACACTTAACTGCTTCTGCAGAGAACCCAGGTTCAGTCCTCGGCACCAACTTAATAATTAATTTAAGATATGTCATTTTGTGCCAAGCTAGAATCACCTGAAGACAAAGTCTCAATTGAGGAAATATCTAGATCAGGCTGGCCTGTGGCGGGGTCTGTGGGATTCTCTGACTGATACTTGATTCAGGAAGAACAGCTACGCTGTTTCACGAGCCTTGAACTGTGGAAGAGGGAAGAAAGCTAGCGGCAACAGGCAGCCAGCATGGGTACATTCGTTTCTCTCCGCCTTGACAGTGGGTGTGATGTGACTGTCTGCTTGACTTCCTGGCTCCGAATTTCCCCCAACCTCCAAGTGACTGATGGTAATTGAAAAGTGAAGTCAAGTAAAGCCTTCTCCTATGTCCGCCTTTGGTCAGGATGTTTTATCACAGTAGCAGAAATGAAATTAGGACATCGCTTGGAAAGGTGTTTCCTAAAGGGAAAGAATTTCTACGACACAGGCCACAGTTCCAAGCCTCCAAGGTGGCCAGGGAACAGGTGTGGAAGAAGAAATGGTGGTTTCCAGGGAGGGGCCAGCATTTGGGTTGGGAGCTTTAGTTAATCTCCTTGATAACTGTAACAGAATGCCTAACAGAAACCACCTGTCGGAGGAGGAGTTAATTTTTGACTAGTACTATGAGGTTTCTGTCCTGTCTGGACTGTTGACTCTGGTCTGTGGCGGGAGTGTGTGATACAGACCTTTCTTCATCTCAGGGCTAGAGAAGGAAATGGCCAGGGAGGGACTGAGGACAAGCTCCGCCCACGGCATGCCCACCAGTGACTGCTTCCACCAGTTAGGCCCCACCCTGGAAGCCTTCAGAACCTCCCCAAAAGGGCCACCAGCTAACGACCTGGGGGGACATTGCCTTTTGCACATTAGAGGTTGGCCTGGTTTGCATCTATGTCCGTCATGAAGGGAAGTTAGGGCAGGAATTGAAGCAGAGGCTACAAAGGAGGGCTGCCTTCTCACTGCTCCTCCTTGGCTTGCTTAGCTGCTTTCTTACTCAGCCCAGGGCCCAGCTCAGGGGTGGCCCTGCCCCCCCACCCCTGAGCTGGGCCCTCCCACGTCAGTCACCTAGCAGGAAATGCCCCACAGGCCAATCTGATGGAAGGGGCTTATCAGTTGAGTTTCCATCTTTCTAGATAACTCTAGCTTGTGTCAAGTTGACAAAAAACAACCAGGACAGTGGGCTTCTTTTCTTTCTTTCTTTTTTTTTTTTTTTTTGGGGGGGGGGTAGTGTCAAGGAGGCAAATCAGGATTTTGTACATGCTAGGCAAATGTTCTGTCACTGAGCCACACCCTCAGCCCCTCACTGGGGGACTCTAGACAGGGGCTCTACCACTGAGCCCATGCTCCCAGTCCCTCACTGGGGGATTCTAGGCAGGGGCTCTACCACTGAGCCACACCCCCAGCCCCTCACTGGGGTATTCTAGGCAGGAGCTCTACCACTGAGCCACACCCCGCCCCCTCACTGGGGGATTCTAGGCAGGGGCTCCACCACTGAGCCACACCCCCAGCCCCTCACTGGGGGATTCTAGGCAGGGGCTCTGCCACTGAGCCACACCCCAGCCCCTCACTGGGATATTCTAGGTAGGGGCTCTACCATTGAACTATCCCATTATCATGTGTGTATTAAGGCACATGTGTATGCACATGTGGAGGTCACAGGTCAGCCTCAGGCATCATTCCTCTACACCCTACACCTTTTTTTGTTTTCAGTACAGGCTCTCTCATTGAATTACTGCACAGCTATGCAGCTAGGCTAGCTAGCCTACCACCCCAGGGCTCTCTTGCTGACAGTACCTGTGTGCTCTAGCAGACCTGTTCTGTTTGGCTTCTTCACATGAGTTCTGGGGTTTAAGTTCAAGTCTTGCCCCTCCCTGCCTGAGCGACCCTCCGAGACCCCCCTTTCTTTTTCAAAGCTTCACTGTAAGTCGAGTTTGTCTGCCTTTGAGGTTGTTCTGCCCCTGCTTGGGAAGTCCCTGGCAGCTCTGTGTCCCCTTTCCCCACTCACCTCAGGCTGTGTTTCCTCTTGTCCTGTGGTGACTGCTCAGGTCGGGCCCCTGAGGACTGGAACCGAAGGAGAAGTTTGGTCGGCTCAGGACAGCCTCCGGTTGTGGGTGGCTTTTTCTGGAAAAACAGAACACAGCTTGTCTGTCTCCCGGGGGAGCCCGCTCTTCCTGAAGCGTGGTCTGCGTTTTATGATTAGTATTTTTCTTCATATGTTTTAACCGGAGATTTCTTTTTTTTAATTTGGATTTTGGAAGCCATGGAATTCATTATTTAAAAAAGAAAAAGAAATTAGAGGCGGAGCATGACAAAACAGGCCAGTAATTCAAACACGTGATAGCGTGATAGCTCAGGCTGGGGCTGCGTAGTGTGGGAGCAGCATACACCACATGGCGAGACTAGATAAGTAAGTAAATAAACAGACACGGGGCTGGAGAGCAGGCTCGGAGCCTGTGAGGACCCAGGTTCAGTGCTGAGATCCCGGATGCCCACTACTGTGCTCAGCCCCATCTTTTGACATAGGACTCCACTCTGGCTTCCTGATAGCCACAGGAGCCACTTGAGGCCCACTCTGGGTGGCGATACCTTTCTGGCCTTGGCGTCGTTGGGTGAGACCAGCTTCCCCGCAGTAGAATGGACCACTCTTGCCAGCGTGCTCAGGGTGAGGCTGGAGCTGGGTGACCCGCTCTGGTCCCCTGCTATTCATGGCATGGGCAGGTGGGTCACAGCTGTCCGCTGTGCTGTGTGATGTACATGTTTGTTAGTGGGACAAACCTGCTTCCAGAAGGTTCCGAATCCTCCCTGTCACTTCTGAGGGAGCAGCATGGCGTCAGCAGTTTAGTAATTCCTGTTCTGGGAACTTGGCACCAGGGCCAAGAATTAACCAAGCTAGGATCTTCTCTGGAGTTCAGGGTCCTTTATGGGTACAGCACTTACTTTTCTGGTTGCTGTGACAAAAATACCCAACAGAAGCAACTAAGGAGCAAGGGTTTATTTGGGCTCACAGTTTCAGAGGGCTCTGTTCCAGCATGCGAGAGAAGGCATGGTAGTAGTCATGATGGCGGGAGTGTTTGCCAGAGACTGTCTCCACATCACAGAGGAACAGGAAGCGGAGTACAGGACCAGAACTGGATGGAAACAGGTATCACCTTCCAAGGCCCCTCCTTAGTGACCCTACTCCCCTCTCTAGGCTCCACCTCCTAAAGGCTCCACAGACTTGATAGCAATGTGAGCCTGGGACAAGGTATTTAAGTCATGAACTATGGGAGACATCTCAGATTCAAACTGTAACCACGGAGCTTTAAAAAAAGAAATAAACTCAACATTTTAAAAACTGTCTTCGGGGGCTGGAGAGATGGCTCAGAGGTTAAGAACACCGGCTGCTCTTCCATAGGTCCTGAGTTCAACTCCCAGCAACCACATGGTGGCTCACAACCATCTATAATGAGATCTGGTGCCTCCTTCTGGCATGCAGGCATACATGCAGGCAGAGCTCTGTATGCATAATAAATAAATAAATCTTAAAAAACAAACAACAACAAAAAAAAAACAACTGTCTTTGGGTTGGAGAGATGGCTCAGAGGTTAAGAGTGCTGGCTGATCTCAGAGAACCCAGGCTTGATTCCCAGCACTTACAGGGCGGCTCACAACTGCCTGTAGCTCCAGTTCCAGTGGATCCAATGCCCTCTTCTGGCCGCTGTGGGCAGCGAATGCGTGCAGGGCACAGGCATACACACATAGGCAAAACACTCAAACATAGAAAACAAAACGATGGAATAATAAACGTATGTCCGTAGTATCAGCCGTCTCTGACATTTCCTCCTACAGACAAGCTGGTATGATCCCCTGCTCTGCTGGTCCGCAGTACCATGGGTGTGGCAGCTGGTGCGGGGGTTGGGGGAGGGAGCCAGACCGATCCCCTAGATGGAGCTGGCTTCCTGCCAGGTCTTGATTTCCTGGGAGGACTGTTCTTCCTGCCACCTGGTTGCACCATGGCAATTCCGTCCCCGACACTCTGAGGCACCTGTGACACCCAAGCCGCTCTAATAGCCACCTCTGTGCTCATTGCGCAGGCTAATAATGTACCTGAGGCTTCCTGAGAGCCGCTTGGGCAGGTCTGTCTCCTGGGATGCTGGCTCATGGGCTGCTACTTCCTGACTTTGCAGGAGAGATACATAATTAAGATCTAGCCCCAGGGTGAGACGGTACCCCCCACCACCAATGACTCATTTACATTCACGTGGATGAGTAAAGATGAATTCATTCATTCAGGGTTATTTACAGAGCTGTGGGTCACTGCAGGTGGCTACGTTTTCTTAAGCCAACAACCCCACCACTTCAATAATGACTGTAAGCTCGGCGGAACAGGCGCATGCTCAGGTTCAGGTACTGCCCCGTGTCAAAGCAGTCCCGGTGACTGAAGGCTCAGACAGCACCAGACCTGGAAAGGTTCCGAGATGTGATTATCATCACAGATCCTGCCAGGCTCGGCAAACACTGCCCAGCCGTGGGAAGGATGGCTGTCTTAGGGCATCCTGGTGCATAGAGAAGCTAAGTGGTGGCTTGCTGCAGAATGGAGTCGCTCTGGCTGGGAGGTGGAGGATTGGAGAAAGTTGTCCATGATCCTTTTGTGACCTGGGGGATGTGTCCATTTACCTGTCAGAAAAAGAAAAAAAAAAAAAAAACCTGAAAGAAGGCAGGTGGGTACCAGAGGGGGAGGATCTGGAGTCCCAGGCTTCCCTGGGCTACAAACATGACCTTATCTCAAAACAAAACTGTAAAACAAACAAACAAGGCTTGGGGCTGCCTGTAGATCAGTGGAGGTGGGCTTTGTGCAACAGGGCAGCGTCTCTCTTGGAACCGGAAGGAATTAGCCTCCTTTCCAGGTCTGTCAGGAACCTGAGGAAGGGCGAGTGTCTGAAGCTGAAGGGGCCCCATTCAGTCAGCGCACGTTCATCACTTACTCCGCCTGGCACGCTTGGTGATGTGAATCCAGCAGGGGGGGGGGGGTGTCAGCACACAGACAGGATGTAATTTTAATTAGAGTCAGGTTTCTCAGAACATGCAGAAAATCCTGGTCCTGTGAAGGCCAGGTGCAGGCTTGGAGCAGGACTGTTCCATGGACGGACAGCATATTCCCCACCTCAGCACAGCCGTGGCCATCACAGAGCCCCCAGGGGTTAGGCACGTGCTAGGCACGTCCTTGCGGAACCCAATCTCCATCTTGAGGGTCCTTTTCTGACTTCGGCCTCAGCTGTACTTCTTATGGAGTTGCGAGGCCCTGTGCAGCCGGTAGTCCATTTCGAAGTTGATTCCCAGAGACCTCCCGAATTTTTTAGTTAAGATGTCAGAACTGCGCTCTGCCCAGAGTTTGGCTGTGAGTCTCTGCCTCTGCTTCGATCCCATGCTGGGTGGAGTCTTTCAGAGGACATCTGTGGAAGGCTCCCACCCTGTTCCCTCTGTTTAACCACTTCCGGTATCTAGTCTATTATTTGCCCTTCTAAATGAGAATTAAGCATCCTCCCTCAGGTCCTTCTTGTTATTTAGCTTCTTTAGGTCTGTGGATTTTAGTATGGTTATCCTGTATTTATATGGTTAATATCCACTTATAAGTGAGTATATATCATGCATGTAAAGAATAGGGGAATAGAAGGACCTGGAGGGGACAGGAGCTCCATAAGAACAACAGAGCCAACAAATCAGGGCTCAGTGGGTCCTGCAGACACTGATGCACCAACCAAGGATCTTGCATGGAGAGGACCTAGACCCCCTGCTCAGATGTAGCCCATAGGCAGCTCAGTCTCCCTGTGGGTTCCCTAAGAAGGGGAGGAGGCTCTGTCTCTGACATGGATTCTGTTGCCCACTCTGTCATCGCTTCCCCCTGGTGGCGGAGTGGAGCCTGCCAGGCCACAGAGAAAGATGCAGGCAGTCCTGATGAGACTTGATAGGCTGGGATCAGATGGTAGGGGAGGAGGACTCCCCCTTTCTGAGGACTAGGGGAGGGGAAGGGAGGGAAAAGGGAGGAAGGGTGGGAGCTACAATCAGGATGTAAAGTGAATAAATTATAAAAAATAGAATAAAAACAAAGGCAAACAAACAAACAAAAAGATGTGAGACGTGAGGGGCCTGGAGGGATTATGACTCGGCAGTTAAGAGCGCTTGCCGCGCAGTCATGAAGTCCAGAGTTTGGATATCTCATATCACCCATATCACAAATGCTTTTTTAACTACAGCTTTCAAGGAATTGGACAGCCTCTTCTGGCCTCCGTGGATACCCAGACACACATGCAAAATAAATAAAGTTAGGTCGTTGTTTTAAATAAGCGAGTACCTAACATTTCATATTTTCTTTTTTTGAGGCAATATCCCAGGCTGGCCTCAAACTGACTTTGCACTATTTTCCTCCTGCCTGGACTGGGGTTACAGGCAGATGCCACTATTTTTCTGTCAGTGCTGGGGGACTCCCAGGGAGTTCAGCAGAAGCTATAAAATAGAATTTAAACACATACAAGGAAGTTTTATTCTTCCTGAAATATAAACCTCGAAGACATGGGTGTCAGCAGTTAAGCATTTGTGTTGGAGGAGAGGCCCAATGGTAAGAGCTCTTGCTGCTCTTGCAGAGGGCCCTGGGTTCAGATCCCAGCACACACATGGAGTCATGATGGCCTGTAACTCCAGTTCCAGGGGATCCAGCACCCTTTTTTCTGGCCTCTGTGGGCACTGTATGCATGTAATGCAAAGATATACATACAGAACGCTTGTGTGCACATAAAACTTTAAAAATCTTTTAAAAATAATGTTTTTAAGAAAAAAGGAAAAACTAGGAGGTAATAAGGGAAATACAGAGTGGGCATTTGTGCATAATAATGGTTGGAACTTAATTTTATTTTGCAAAAGTTATATGTAAATCTGCCTGTCTGTGTGTGTTTGTACATGTATGTGCAGTACCCCCCCCCCCAGAGGCCAGAAGAGGGCGGCGTTGGATTCCCTGTGGGCTGGCGTGACAGGTGGTTGCAAGGTGACTGACATGGGTGCTGGGAACTGAACCCAGGCCCTCTGCAAGAGCAGTTCGTGCTCTTAGCTGCTGAGCTTAGTTGCTGAGCCGTCTTCCAGCACCATGTCCTGTTTCTTAAAAGAAGCCCTGTTGTTCAGAGATGCATCCCTAAAAATATATACGGATGAGCCCTTCTCTACCTTATGTAACTTTCTGGTACTCGCTTCAAAATAACCTAGAGATTGGGCATAGATGGAGATATACCACGTGACTGGCCACTGGATTCCTAATTTTTGAAGCTGGATAAAGGTCGTGAGGGGCCAGCCTGGTCTACAGAGGGAGTCCCAGACAGCCAGGGCTACCTAATAGAGAGCCCCTGGCTCAAAAGAATTTGAAATGAAAGAAAGACGTTAAAATAGTGAGGGCCTGTTAGGTGGCTCAGGGAGTAAACGCACTTGATGCCGGTTCCAACAAGCCAGGCCTCCAGCCTTAACCAGGGCTGTTTCTCCAAGTAGTGCTGCCCTCCTCTGCAGGTCCCCGGCCCGACAGATTCCAGCTGAGGCTCCTTGGAGACATCTGGGCTGCAGAAGCCACTTGGCCCGCTCAGTCTGGTGCTAATCCTGCCTCTCTTCCCAGGTCTTAGTGCCCTGCCGAGGAAGCCTGCCGAGTAGTGTACAGGCCTGCTGCCAGTTCGAGTCCTACGTCTTGGTACCCACGGAAGGACGCTTTCAGACGTTGGATGGAAAGGTACTCACTGCTAGGGTGGCTCAGAGTTGATGGGGGGTGGGGCAGACAGAGGCGAGATCAACCTTTTTCTCAGCCTTTCGAGTCACTGGCATCAGATATGGATTTTTACAAGTATGTAGCAGCTTTTGAAAAGGGTTATGGGCCTTCTGCCTTTGTTCGGGAACCTTTGAGACAAGAGGCCATGGTAACAGTGAGTTGGACCCAGACTGTGACACAAGGCGGGTTTGGGCTGGAGTTCATCACTCCCTGCCTCAGCCAAGCGGAGTCATCTCCCTGTATATTGAGGTTCCTGGTGTACCCCTTCTCAGGTCTGTATCCTAGTGAGCTATTTCTTTGGTTGTGGTTGTTTTGTTTTTGTTTTTTTATTTTTTTGTTTTTGTTTTTGTTTTTTTCCTAGGCAGGTTCTCACTGCATAGCTCTGGCTGGTATGGAGCTTACTCTGTAGACCAGGCTGGCCTTAAACTCAGACGTTCAGCCTGCCTCTGCCTCCCAAGTGCTGGGATTAAAGGTGTGCACCACCATGCCTAGCCCGTATTAATTTATTTTTGAGACAGGGTTTTGCTATATTTCCCAGGCTGGCTTGGAACTCGTGATCCTCCTGCCTCAGCCTCCCTCGTGCTGAGAATATAGGCACAAGCCGCCACGCCCATCGTGGATGCTTTTTGTTTTTTAATGGAAGCAGACAGGCTCTGAGAAGTGGACATTTCATTTACACTCAGCTAGCCCCATCCCCCCCCACCCCCAACTAATACATGGTCAGAGGTCACCCTGACCACTACTCTCACTGGGGGTGATCTTCAGTTTGACCCCAGGGCCTGAGCATCAGGGGCTTGTGGGTACTGGGGCAGATCTCAGAGGGTGTGGGTTATCAGTACACTTGCTCAGGCTGGCACCCCCGAGGCTCATGAGGCCTGGTGCGTAACTGTTCCACGCTCATATCTCACCATATCTGTTCCACGCTCCTTAGGCGTGTGTTCAGTTAGCCCGCACTGGGGTGGAGCGGCATGCTCCGCCTATGTGCCTTCCGGGAAGAGGCTGCAGGGGGTCTCCGTGCTTGCTACCCCAGGCTGGTCCAGTGATGTTTCTCTGATTCCAGGATGTCCTCATTGAAGGAAACAGGATTAAGCTAGGGGCTGGTTTCGCTTGCCTTCTCTCTGTGCCCATCCTCTTCGAAGAGACTTTCTACAACGAAAATGAAGAGAGTTTCAGCGTTCTCTGCATTGCGCATCCTCTGGAGAAGAGAGAGACTTCAGGTACCCGGGGATGGGAGGGGGGGATCACCTTTTTCTCCCTATAAGGAGAAGTATGTGAGCACCTCCTTCCCCCATGCACAGCTGTTAAACGCTCGAATGTCACACACACACACACACACACACACACACACACACACACACACCATCAGAGGGCCCACTAACGACCTGCCTGACCTTAAGGAAGTCCCCTCTGGGACTTGAGCTAAGTCTTCCTTGCCAAGGTGACGTGGCTTGGGGCTGCCATGGAGGATTTGATAGGACCCCAGGCAGAGCTGTTCACAGAGGCCTCACCGCTCTGATCGGCCTGGGAGGAAGGTTGTCCCTGGAGCTGTGCAGAGCTGGAGCCCTGGCTTTGTCTGGGCCTAGCCTCGGGCGTTAGCTTTGTGGCGTTATGAAAGCAGCGGCGCCATTGCCTCCCTGAGAGCTCATTGGTTCTCAGTTGACTGTCAGTTGCCCTGGGAAACTTGGCACAGTTCCCGTGCCAAGTGCACCGTGAAGCCGAATTGTCCGGAACAGGCTTCTCATCCCCATGGGTCTCTACCTAGGGCCACACGTTAATCTGCCATTTTGTTCCCTGAAAAGGCCTTGTGTGGCTTTCTGGACTCCAGGCTGTCCTGCGACTGGGCTGTTCTTGGGCAGCATTTGGAAATGAGGGCCTTCCCTTGCTCATTTCCTGGCCCGTGGCCATCCTCTCTCTGAACAAGGGCTCTAGTCCCTTCCAGAACAGGGGAAAGGTTGTTAACCCCCCAGGCCCCGTTGGTCAGGAAACCGAAAACTAGCCAGCCTGACCCTCAGTCTGCTTTTTCAGAAGAGCCTTCAGCACCTTCTTCAGATCCTTTTTCCCTGAAAACCATTGAAGATGTGAGAGAATTTTTGGGAAGACACTCGGAGAGATTTGACAAGAACATCGCGTCTTTCCACCGGACATTCCGGGAATGTGAACGAAAGAGCCTCCGCCAGCACATAGTAAGTAGCCGTGGCTTGTCCTGTCCAGCTGGCCGCTTTCACTCACCCCAGAGCCGCTGGCTAGCGTGTCTGCTCCAGAACACCGCTGGGGCCCGACTCTGAGGCTGGAAGTTTTGTGGAAAATGTTTCTACTGTACAAATAGCATAAGGCCCTTCAGGAAGTGAAAAAAAAATCTCAGAAGTCTAAAAATGAGTACCATAAAGAAACTACCCCACCCTGTTAACCCTAAAGGGAGAGAGAGAAAAAGAAAAGTTGAGATCCAGGAGAAGGGTTCAGTGGCTGGAAAATGTTCTTTATGCAAGACAGACAGCCTGGGCTCAGATCCCCAGAACCCACGTAAAAGCTGGACAACTTAGAAAAGGCTGGGAGGTGCCGGACGGAGAATCCTCCAGTGTAAGCCAGCCGGCTGGAAGTACTCAGCAGACTGGCAAACAGCCAGAGAGGCCTGCCTCTAAGTGAGGTGGAAGGTGAAAACTGATACCCAAGGCTGGCCCCTGACCTCCGCACACCCGAATACACAGATGCGTGGAGGACCGACAGAGTTGCTCAGAGGCTGAGAGTGCTTTAGCCGACAGTGTGTTGGATCCTCTGGGCCCACGTGGTGCAAGGGGAGAAAGGCGACTCCTCAAAGTTGTCTTCCGACTCGTGCGCAGCTGCTATAGCGTACGTGCTCCTCCTCCCCCGCCCCCACAGGCTTATTCTGAAGAACGAAAGGTAATTTTAAAGAGTTGAACACCCACTTGAAAAGATGAGTTGATAATGCTGGCATATCTCCTAGATCTAACAGTCTTTGGCTGTTGCCCACTCGGGCCTTGGTGGTAAGAGGGCTCTTCCCTCTCCGTTTTGTGTTGCACAGGACTCTGTCAACGCCCTCTACACCAAATGCCTCCAGCAGCTCCTCCGGGACTCTCACTTGGTAAGCAGGCATCTAAACAGAACGGCAGCGCTTTGCCCGTGTTGCAGATCTAAACCCTCAACCGGCGTCTCTCTTGAATCCTAGAAGGTTCTTGCCAAGCAGGAGGCCCAGATGAACCTGATGAAGCAGGCGGTGGAGGTAAGGAGAGGGTGGGGCGGTGGCCGGGACACTCCTGTTACCTGATGGACGCCCCGAGCTGCCGCTGTCCGTTCCACAGATGTATGTCCATCATGACATTTACGACCTCATCTTTAAGTACGTGGGGACCATGGAGGCGAGCGAGGTGAGTGTGTGCAGTCTTTGTTCTCTGCGATGAGGGCCCTCACCTAAGAGGCGCCCAGTTTGAGGCTCGAGAGGTACTCTAGCAGTTAAGAGTATACACCGCGTTTGCAAAGGCTCAGAGTTTGCTTCCTAGCACCCAGGAAGGATGGCTCACAACCTCCCATAACTCTAGGTCTGGGAGCCCTAGCACCTTCCTCTGGCCTCTGTGGATACCTGCAGTCACATGCAGAGACACAGGACACACACACACACACACACACACACACACACACACACTCACACACTCACACACTCACACACTCACACACTCACACACTCACACACTCACGAACAGTTAACACTAGATCTTAGTGTCTTTAATCCCAGCCCTCAGGAAGCAGAGGCCGATAGGTATCTGTGAGTTCCAGGACAGCCAGGGCCATGGAGAGAGAACCTGTCTCAAAACCAACCAAGCAAACAAAAACCTTAAAAGAAGTTTGAAGCTTTGTTCAAATCTTTGTTGCCAGGATGCTGCCTTTAACAAGATCACCAGAAGCCTTCAAGATCTCCAGCAGAAGGACATTGGCGTGAAACCTGAGTTCAGGTAAGGGTTCCTGCAGCTTTACCAATTAGCATGCGGGGGAGCCAGCTTCTCCCCTCAGTCACTTTGGTGGGAGTGACCGCAGCAGCAGCAATAGCAACAGCAGTGGCCCCAGATTTGATGTGGTCCCAACTAAGGAGCTGAGTACTCGCTTCCAGCTGATGACAGGCGGCCGAAATCGACCCATGACTGCCTTGTAGCTTCCCCTCCTGTCTCCTGTGCTTGTGGGCCAGTGGGCCAGCTGGGTGGGAGCTGAGGGGAGCGGGGTTGGTGTAACTGGCCTCTGGATGGGCGTGTGAGTCACGAGGAAGACGTTGCCCTCACCTGCCAGTCTGAGAGAACCCAGCTGCAGGGCTGTCACTGCCAGCTAAGTTTCATTAGGATAAAAATGGCTGAAGTGTCGGTCTGTAAGCCTCTCCCCACTCTTGGGATGTTTCCATCTTGGGCTTTTATTACATTTTGTAAAGTTATTATTTTTTGTTGTTGTCGTTGTTGTTGCCACTTAAAATTTTTCAGCCCTGAGCCGGGCACAGTGGCGCACGCCTATAATCCTAGCACTCAGGGAGGCAGAGGCAGGCGGATAATTGTGACTTCGAGGCCAGCCTGGTCTACAGAGCAAGTCTGGGATAGCCAAGGCTGCACAGAGAAACCCTGTCTTGAGTGAATGAATGAGTTTTTTTCTTCATTTTTATTTTATTTTAATGTGTCTGAGTGTTTTGCCCGCATGTATGTGCACATATGGGATCAGGGTCCTTGGAGGCCAGGAGAGAGCATCAGAATTCCTGGGATTAGAATTACAGACATCTGGGTTCTGGGAGTCAAACCTGCGTCCTCTGCAAGAGCAGCCAGTGCTCTTAACCCCTGAGCCACCATTTCAGCCCCATAGTATTTTAAAATTGTGTTTTATTGTTTGAATTACGCGTCTGTATGTCTCTCGGAGTGGGTGTGCGCGCGTGAATGCAGGTGCCCTCGCAGGCCAGAGGAGTTCGATCTGCCTGCAGCTGGAGTCACAGGCGGTTGTAAGCTGCCCAGTGCGGGTGCTGGGAATCGAACCCCAGTCATCCATAAGAACATTCCATCCTCTTAACCACTGAGCCATCTCTCCGGCCTGTATCTTTTTGAGATGTATGTAACCCAGACGCCCTTGAACTCACCTTGTAGCCCAGGCCAGCTTTGAAGTTGCAATCCCCCCCGCATCAGCCTCCCCAGTGCCAGGCTCACAGGCCTCACCTCTAGGTCAGGCTCCTGGATTTTTTAATGTTTTTGAATCACTGGTGAAGTTCTGTTGTTTGCAAGCCGCGTGGTACGCCACCAACCTGTGTGAAACCACTCCACGGTCTGTTCTTGTCGGGCACGCCGTGTGGCTGTGAGAAAGGTCTCAGGTGTGCGACCAGGACAGGATCAGGAGGGCCCTCCGCCGTGGCCTGACGTTCGCACTCTCTAAATCCCAGCTTCAACATCCCTCGTGCAAAGAGAGAGCTGGGGCAGCTGAACAAGTGTACGTCCCCGCAGCAGAAGCTGCTGTGTCTGCGGAAGGTGATGCAGCTCACGACGCAGTCCCCCAGCCCGAGAGGTTGGTGCTGGGAAGGGGCGGGGCGGTGGCTGAGGTGGCAGATGCCAAGGTCCATCGAGGAGGGACCAGAGTTGCATGGGGAGTATGCCCGGGGGCGGGGTGTTAGGCAGGAGTAGGTTAGCAAATCCTGAGACATGAGAGAGGCGGCTTCAGCTTGGCCTGGATGTGTTTGTGGGTGGGGTGTGGGAGTGGGGGTGGAATCCGGGTTAAAAAGTAAAATAGGGGTTGGGGGTTGTCATTCAGTGGTCAAGCGAGCCCCTCCACCCAAGTTCCACCCTCAGCTGAAGACAAAGGAAGTAAAGGAACGGTCCCCAGGGGATCCTGAGTGGGCTAATCAAGCAAGTGTCCAGTGTGCCTCCAGCAGCGATGGGGGGTAGGGGGGGGGTTCCACCCGCAGCCATGGAAACGGGTCCATAAACTCTCCCAAAGTCTAGTCTCAGCAGGGACACTGGGTGGCAGAGGTAGCCGGGACATACGTGGTCAGTTCTTTTTGTGCCGTTTGGTACTTACTTAGGTTTCATTGTCAATGTTTTGAGACAGGGTCACATGTAGCCCAGGCTGGCCTCAGCTCACCCATTGCTGGGGTTACAGGTGTGGGCTATCTCACCCGTCTTTTTTCTTGTCTTTCTTTCTTTTCTTTCTCTCTTTTTCTTCTTTTTTTTTTTTTTTTTTAAGACAGGCCCTCACTGTGTAGTCCTGGCCGGTCTTGAACTCTGACATCTGTGCGGGACACTGTCAAGGAAACTGTAGTGTTTTCTGCCCGGAGTCTGATTTTATGGGCGTGTGGGTTTGCTCTTGGTTGCTGGAGGGGGGGTTTTCCGTTTATCCTTCCATTGGTGTTTCATGGAGACTGTGTTTCCCCGTTGCAGTGAATTTGGAGACCGTGTGTGCTGATGATCTTCTCTCTGTGCTGCTATATCTGCTGGTGAAGACAGAGATCCCTAACTGGTAACGTTTTTGTTGTTAAAATACCATGTACTTATTTAGGCTCTTCTGAGACACGGTCTCTCCTATAGCTCAGGCTAGCCTCCAGCTCTTGCTCTTCCTGCCTTAGCCCTGAGTTCTGGGATTACAGGAGTGAACCACCCTGTCCGTTAGAAAATGCTTTAAAGTCTGGCCACCCTATGTGTTCTGAGTTTGGGGTGTGACTCTGGGCGAAGCTGCTTTTAGGGATGTGCCTCTTAAGAGCAGTGCTCTCCTCTCTGTCCTTCAGGGGTGGCTCTCCTTCAGAGGACAAATGGGAAACTGAGGCCCGGGGAGCTTCTGTTTCACATTGTGAAGTATGTGGCTAGTCCATTGCTGAGTAGGAAGCAGATGCCAGCTGTCTCCCATAGGAAATCATAATTCACTTTGCAACATTAGCTTTTGGAGCCAGATAGCTCACCTCCTTTAATCCCACCACTCAGGAGGTAAAGGCAGGTGGATCTCCGAGAGTTCTAGGCCAGTGTGGTCCACACAGCAGATTCCAGTAGAGCCAGGGCTACATACTGAAACCTTGTCTGTGAAACACCAAACCCAAACCCCCAGTAATCAGCTGCCATAGTTACTGTTCTATTGCTCTGAAGAGATGCTATAACTAAGATAACTTACAAAAGAAAACATTTCAGCGAGGGCTGGCTTACAGTTGAGAGGGTTGGTCTCTGGTCATCGCAGCAGGGAGCGTAGTGACAGGCAGGCAGGCAGGCAAGGTGCTGGAGCAGGAGCTGAGAGCTCACCGATGTAAGCTGCAGGCAGTGAGGGAGAGGGAAAGAAGGGGAGAGGAGGGATGGGGGAAGGAGAGGAAAGAGGGGGGGGAGAGAGAGAGATTGAGAGCTTGTTCTAACCTTTGAAACCTCAAAGCCTACCTCCATGACATGCCTCCAATGAGGCCACACCCAGTCCAACAAAGCCACACCTCCCAATCCTTCCCAGACAATTCCGTTAACTGCAGGTCAAGCGTTCAGACATGTGAGCCTGTGGGGGCCATTCTTCGATTTCCAATAGCCAGCCTTTTCCAGGGAAGTAACAAGTAGTTTTCTTGTCCTACATCTCTGCAGTGGCATGAAGGGGGCAGCGGCCATTATACCTGACCCCCTGCCCCTGGTGAATAGACTTGATGGCACTCTTTAATCAGCCATCCAAGCTGACGATGTTTTTAAGGTGCCCACTATCCAGTGATAACCCCTTTTTCTTCTTTCGGTTAGGATGGCAAATTTGAGTTACATCAAAAACTTTAGATTTAGCAGCTCGGCCAAAGATGAGCTGGGATACTGCCTGACCTCAGTTGAGGCTGCGATCGAGTACATCCGGCAAGGAAGTCTCTCTGCGAAGCCGCCTGTAAGATCTCCCTGCTTTATACCCTTCCTCCGTGGCCATCCGGGGGACCTTCAGAGAGCTGGGTTGGGGGGGATGGGTGTTTTTCATGGTCTCCTAAGACTGGAGCCTCAGCTGTCTAACCGTTATGAAAGGTGAGACGTATTCTAGAAACTGAACATTAAGCCCCTAATTGATTGTGATCACTGATGTGTTAGCGGTGGGATTTACACTGTCAGCGGCCTGCTTCGTTAATCCTGTCCTCTTCAAAAGCACGTGTGTGGGAAAGGAAACCAGACACGGCAGATCTGGACTTGGTGAGGCTGATAGGCAAGAAATGATAATTGATGCGTGCCGTTTTAAGGACTCAGTGGCCTTAATTATTGTTTCGTTGGTTGGTGAGCTTTGGTGAGGGAGAGTGGTTCTGTTTCTATGTAAATGATGAGAGTCTTAAGCCAAGATTTCACCGCTGGCCTGTTGTACTCCGTGGTGACAGATAAAGTGGTAGAACTCGGCAGTGCTCAGAAAGCTCTCCACAGAAAAGGCAGTGACTCGAAGAATGAGCAGGCATGGTGGTGCATGTAATCTTAGTACTTACAAAGATGAGGCAGGAGGATCACTGTGAGCCTGAGGCTGACCTGGTCATGTGGGGAGTGCCACGTCAGTCTGGGCTTTACCGTGAGACACACTGTATCAGAAGACAAAGGAAAAAGAAAAAGAAAATATAAGTAAAATGTGCAAAGAGGAGAGTGAGTGTGAGCTCAGCCTGGGCTACATGTAAGAGCCTGTATAGGCAAATACACAGCATCCTCTGGTGTGCTGAGCAGGTCAAGCCTAACAGCTGCTCACACCTTTACCTTGCTTGGCCCGTCCACCCAGCCGGTACCCTCGCATCCTTGTCTCTTGTGCCATGGCATGGGCCTCTGTCCGTAAGGAAGGACTCTGCCTCTACTGCAGACTGGCTTCTTTTAGTTCATGGAGTTTGGGTTGGAATGTATGAAGCCGCTAGTCACGTGATGATGGCATTGTCCCCATCGAGAGAGCCTTTGTGTCTCTCCAGGCTGCAGGTGAGGCTTCTGAAATTATCGGTCGATTGGGTTTTTTCTTTCACTCTCGGCTCTGTGTAACGTGGTTTCACAGAAATTTCCTCTCCAGAGTGCCATGAAACTTGAGCTAACCACAGGCATCCTTAGGATGGTCATAAATGGAGACTTCATCTTTAAAAAAAAAAAAGAACCCAAATACTACAGCAGTGGCATCAGGATCAAAGTGGAGATCCTTGAAATAAATGGACCATGCCCCACTTCATCTTTCAGTTTTTTTTTTTAATGTATGTGTGTCTATGTGTCTGTATGCACTGTTGTGCGGGTCCCTGAAGAGGCAGAAGAGGGTGCTGGTTGCCCAGGAACTGCAGTTACAGGCAGTCAGGAGTCACCTGACATGGGTGCTGGCAAACGGACTCAGGTCCTCTAGAAGAGCAGCAAGTGCTCTTAACCACTGAGCCATCTCTCCAGCCTTGTTTGTTTTTTTATTAATTTATATTTCATTTTCCTGCTTCATCTTTAAACCCTTCTGGTGTGTCTTGCTTTGTTACTGGCTTTTTTGGCTTTAGAAAGGTGATGCTGGGGGTGGAACTTGGGTCCTTAGGCATGCTATGCGATTCTGAGTTACATCCTGAGCCCTTGTTTTTGGAGGTGAGATCTCTGTTCTGGCAGGGGTGACCTCAAGCTGGTGCTGAGATAATCGCATGCACCATCACTCCAGGCTGAGTTCTTACAGTATCTGCTCATTTCCCATGAGCCTCTGGGTTGTACTGCTGCTTGGAGCACTTGTGTTTTCTTTCCCTGCAGATTTAGTTCAGGGAGCTCCACCTTTCATCGCTGACACATTCCTTCACTGCAGTCATGCCCAACATCAGCACACACCCTAGACTTGAGAAAAGAGCCCTGACTGACCTGTTGTTGTATGGTGCCTTTGATGTTTCTCTGGCCCTAAACTCCTCAGCTGTCAATCACCAGAAAAAAACCCAGAATGCTGGGGCTTTATATAGCACGAGGCAGCTGGGGACAGAACAGCTCCTGAGGTGCTGGCAGCGTTTGTGTGTCGCAATAGTTAGTCCTCACTGGAGATGCGCGGACCTGAGGGACGATGCTCCATAGAGGACCCCAGAAATGATCCCTCTTGAGGCACTGTTGGCTTCACCCAGAGCCTGGATGAAGAACTTAGAGATGTGTAAAGAAACAACCTGTGTTCTACCATGTTGTCAGGGGCCTGTGAGTTTCCAGCATCACCTGTCTGGAAAAATATTTTCCTTCACCTCCCACCAAGACTCTTTGTGAAGAAGTTAATTTGTTGTTGTACCGTTTGGTTTCAGGGACCCAAGTGAGCACAGGAACATTGTGGTAGGAATGATTCTGTAACATAGGCACAAGACTGGGGTGTGGGTCAGTGGTAGAGCCCCTGCCTAGGATCCCCCAGTGAGGAGCTGGGGTGTTGTTCAGTGTTGATCACTTTGATTCAAATTCTGTAGCAAGAGTTTAGAGTCATTTCTTTAAGACAGAGCTTTAGCGAGCACGGTAAGGCCCTGGCACTGCAAAACAATGCAAACCCACAACGAAAAAGAACACAGTGTTGAAAATCTTGCCTCAAAACAATACCTTCATGAACATAGTTTCAGCCTTCATGATAGCCAGGAAGTGACGCTAATTATTAGCTAATAACTAATAAAGTATTTTAGTATTTTTGATTATTATTTGCGTGTGAGTGCCCGTGGAAACCAGAAGAGGATGTCAGATTCCCTGCAGCTGGATTTACAGGCAGTTGTGAGCCACCTGATTATGGGTGCTGGGAATTGAACTTAGGTCCCCTGGAAGAGCAGCAAACATTCTTGACCACCAAACCATCCCCCCCGCCCCAGCTTTCTAAATAGTTTGTGTGTGTGTGTGTGTGTTTGTCCCGGTAAGCATTACCTTTGATAGGAAGATCTGAATAAATTAACTGGCATGGATCCTTGCAATACAGTAAGTGACTGGGAGTGAAAGAATGGTCAGGAATGCCCATGTCTTCCTAGATGGTTTTTTGCCCAGTGAATTAGGCTGATATTTTCATGAGAACATTCGCAAAACAAGATTCCCATAGCCGCTGGGTGCCAGGGGGTAGAAACCAGTGTGTCAGGGATGTTGTCCACAGCCCTGGTTAAAGCGGCAGAGTCAGGCCATTCAGGCCTTAGCGGGGAGGCCTGAGAGGGGCAGAGTCCAGGAAAAGCCAGGCTTCAGCCTGGAGGACGATGGCACATATGTGGCACATTCCAGCTCTGTAGGTGACTTTCTTCCCCCTGTGGTCCTGCTGCCCAGGCCACAGTCTTCAGAACTCACTTCCCAGCATTCTCTGCTCAGGAGGATCTGCGGTTCATCTCAGATCGCAGATCAGGGTTGGGAGAGGCCCCGAAGGCCACGCCTGGGATGGATGGCAGGGCTTGAGCCTGGGCCCTCTGTGTGGGGAGGCTCTGTGACAGGGTCTGTCTGTGTGATGACTGCAGGACGCCGAGGGATGTGGCGACAGACTGTTTCTCAAGCAGAGGATGAACTTACTGTCCCAGATGACATCAACGCCCATCGACTGCCTGTTTAAGGTAAGACTCCAGGATGACTTGGGAGGTGATGATGTGTAATTGTTCCGTCCTTCAGTGTTTGTAAAAGTCTGTATGGTTACCACCGCAGAATGCACAGGGAGGGGAGGGGTTGCTGGGCCTCAGAGCCTTTGCCCGTCATTCAAGGCCAGCTCAGAGGGACCTCTTCCTGGTCCCCGATAGAGCTGATACCTGTACTGGACCCAAGTGTTCTTGTGGCAGGCCTCAGCTGAGAGTGGGGACTGCCTGGGGGTTCTGGTCCCCAGTGCAGGAAGCTCCTTGTTCGGATGCTCACTGACTCCTGGGAAACTCCTGAGGCAGTTTCTAGCCATCACTGTGGGACACATGAGGGTGGACCTCTGAGAGTCTGCTGATGTTTCCAGGCTTCCGGGAGCCAGAATAGGTCCCTAGGAGGGCCACATCTGTGAGTCTCAGAGGCCAAGCCTTGTGGGTTTGTGTGCTCGTGGTGCTGCTAAGTGCAGCTCTTCTCCTTCCCTTAAGCCTACGTACGCCCCACTTGATTACTGTAGGGGTAACACTGAGACTGTCTGTCTTCCCTCTCTTCCTCTTTGCTGGTGCTGGAAATTGAACCTAAGACGTTGTACATGCTAAGCAAGCACATTCTGTAGCCGAGCCACGCCCCCAGGCCCTCACAGGGGGATCCTTGGCAGTTATCCCGTAGCTGAGACACACCCTCCTCAGTCCGTGGTGCTTTGAGGTGGTGCTTTGAGACAGTGTCGACCCGTGTAGCCCATGCTGAACTTACAGTCATGATTTTCTGGCCTCTGCCTCCTGAGTGCCAGGATTAAAGGCTTGTGTCACCCCTGCAGAACCTCGGCTTTTGCCGATGGGGTATCAGAGTTCACACTGAGGCCCGAGATGAATTTTGTGGTTCTTCTTAGTACTTTGGATGTGTTGTCTGGTTGTTTAAAAAGGAAAACCGTGACTCTGCATTTATAGAAACAGTAAGGGAGTGTGAAAACTGCCCAAGCTGGTCTCATCTCAGTCGCCAGCCCAGGGTCTCCATCTGCCCAGACAGGCTTGAAGCCACGCCCACTCAGAGCTTGGCCATTTCAGGGTAATCTCGGATAAGCCTTGAATCCCAGCATTTAGGAGGCAGAGGCAGGGGTCTCTCTTAGTTAGAGGCCAGCCTGGTCTACAGATCAAGTTCCAGGATAATCAGAGCTACACAGAGAAACCCTGTCTCAGAAACAGAAACAAACAACAAAAAAGAATTAAAGGATAGCCTGGGCTACAGAATGAGACCTATTTTAATAAAACATAATAAGCTAGGCTTGGCGATCCCTGCTTGTCATTCCAGCTACTCAGAAGGCAGAGGCAGCAGGATTACAAATTCTAAGCCAGCTTGGTATACACAGTGAGTCCAAGGCCACCACAGGCAGCTTCGTGAGGTCCTGTCCTACAGAAGGCCAGGGTGTGGCTCTGTGGTGGAGTGCTTGCCTAGTGTGTGTGGCACCATAGGTCCGATCTCAAGCACAGCTGAGCCAAACGAAACCAAACCAAAAGAACCGTTTCCTGGAAAGCAAATGACTCCTTAACACTGATCGTATTCGGGATACCCCCGTAGCACATTGCATCCGGTAACCAGAAGGAAGTGGAAAGGCTGCTGAGCCAGGACGACCAGGACAAAGATGCCCTGCAGAAGATGTGCCACCCACTCTGCTCCTGCGAGGACTGTGAGAAGCTCGTCTCTGGGTAAGAGGGACCCGGGAGGCACGGAGAGCCAGGGGAAGGACTCGAGGGGCTGCAGTGGCTCTTCTACCCAGCCTGCCTCGGAACAGAACCCTTCCCGTGGCCCCTCGGCTGTCGTCTCTGTCACGGGTGCATCACGGGCGCAGGGTGATGGCTGCCCCTTTTGCATGCTCCCTTGGACCCCAGGGCTTCCCACATGTTTTTCCCGAGCATCACAGGGTGTTTTAAGGTGGAGAGGGGTGGGTGCCAGTTCCTTCTAGTAACTTTTTTTAGCTTCCCATTATGCTCCATGGGCAATTTTGAGGTGAGTCCTCGGGGGTTATGGGGAAGGACACTGAAGCTGCAGGCCGAAGATCCTCGCTTCACAGGAGAGTCAGAGGCGTGGAAGGGCTCTCAATCTTGGATGGCCTCCGGTGTGACCATCTTGTCCAGCCTGGAAGGGAGGGGCTTTGCTGTGCCTTTCTCTGTATTTGTCCACATCTTTTTTTTTCCTGTTTTAGGAGGCTGAACGATCCTTCAATTGTCACGCCTTTCTCCAGAGATGACAGGGGTCAGACACCGCTCCATGTCGCTGCCCTCTGTGGTATGTGGCCTTGAACTGGCTCCTGTGAATTATTAAGGCAAAAGGATGGTACCCCAGGGGCAGCGGAGGCCCAGCTGATGGGGTACTGGCAGAGCATCCTTGTGGATGCGTCCCACGGGGCAGGAAAGAGTGGCAGTGTCCCCCTGGACTTGTTGGCCACTGCCACCTCAGGCTGGAAGGGCATTCTGGTATGGCTGGCCAGTGAGGGCAGGAATGCCTGCTAAGATGATCTCGCAGAATTGTGGTTTGGGGTTCGCATCTCTCTGTCTTTAAAGACAGTATTGAGCCAGGTGTGGTGATGCAGACCTGTAATCTCAGCCAGTCAGGACCCTGAGGCAGGAGGATTATGAGTTCAAGGTCAGCATGGTCTACACAGTGAGTTCAAGGCCAGTTTGGGCTATGTAGTTAGACTCCATTGCAAAAGGAGACAACTGGGGGTACAAATGTTGTTAGCCACCAGGTGGGTGCTGGGAATCCATCCCAGGTCCTCTGGAAGGGCATCCAGTGCTCTGGACCATAGGGCCATCTCTTCAGCCTCTGGTCCATTGCCAGCTAGACTTGGGTGTGATCCCTTCATAGGATATCCCACAATGCTTCACATTTTTGGAGCCAGCTCCGGCTCCTGTATAGCTAGGACCGTGTCCGCCGCTGGGTTTCCTGCCAGGGCCGTCGAGAGTGAGGTAGTATCTTACAGGAAGCTGCTCAGCTTCATCTGCCAACGAGAGGCCCTTCTGCTCTGCAGGTCAGGCGAGCCTCATTGACTTCCTGGTCTCCAGAGGTGCCGTAGTGAACGCCATGGACTATCATGGGTCCACTCCCCTCCATCTGGCATGTCAGAAAGGTTTCCAGAGCGTGACGGTGAGCATTCGGGGTTGTGGGTAGCGCCGGCAGTGCACGGTGGCTCCGTGGCTCCACCAAGCACTATGCCAGTGCCAGCTACAGAGTTATGCTGCCAGGCACGGGGGATCCCGGAGGCCAAGGCCAGCCCCGGAGATGGGTTAAGACGGGAAACTTGCGGACCAGCTCGGGAGGGAAGGCAGGGTTCTCGACATACTCCTTTAAACATTGGTTTGACAGGGAGCAATGATGTAACGTGATTGTACATATATGTGTGTGCGTGGCACCTCAGTGCACACGTGGAGGTCCAAAGAAAGCTTGCCGTCTGGCTTGAACTCCCTCCCACTATCAGGCTTGGTGGCAAGTGCCCGTATCTGCTTGGCCAACCTGCCAGGCTGCAATGGCATAATTTCAAAAGGGGTTGAGGAACCCTTATCTTAATGTTCAGGCCTTTGAATTTTTGGACCCTTTTGTATTTTGGAATATTGGGCACATGACCTAAAGATAATTTTGTACAATATTCTGAGTGTCTGAGTGATGCCTCATGACTGTCACGTGGCACCCTACTGTATGGCATTTTCTCCCTGGGTTGTGGTTTGGAGAGTCAGGGGTGTATCTCCTGGGTTTCTTTCCTAGTTTGGGGGACGTGTGGGGCGGAGGGGCAGAGAAAGAAAAAGGAAAGAACGTTCTGGATTTCGGGCCAGGAGTGCCCCGCCTGTGTAATGTTTAAGATTGGACGTGAGCCCTGCCCCTGGAAGGGGGGCACGCTTGTGGATGCTCCGTGCTCCTTCCGGGGCTCAGCTGCTGTCTCCTCTCCTCTGCCAGCTGCTGCTGCTGCACTACAAGGCCAGCACCGAGGTGCAGGACAACAATGGCAACACCCCGCTGCACCTGGCCTGCACCTACGGGCACGAGGATGTAAGTGGCGCCTGCCCCCCCCCCCCGCTTTTCATTATTTCTCCCCTGTGGAGACATACAGATTTGAACCTAGTCCAGTGTGCACCCGAGCGCCTGTGAGCACACAGAGCTTGGGGAGGGAAGTGTTTATTTCACGTTGTACCCAGAGGCGGGAACTGAAACAGATACCACAAAAGAGTGCTGCTTACTGGCCTGCTCCCCTTGGCTCACTCAGCCTGCCCAGGGATGGCCCCGCCCACAGTGGGCTGGGTTTGATCACATCAGTCACTAATGAAGAAAATGCTACACAGACCTGCCTACAGACTAATGTTTCACATGTATTTACAGGGGTTCTGGGATGCAATCCCAGGCCTAGGTAGCCATCTGCTGGCTCTGTAACTTAAAGCAATTAAATGTTCAAAGTATTACAGATGCTATACATTAAGAAATTTAACACCTAATTGCCTGTGATCTTACTCTGATATTAAGTAGTTTTTGCTCATTCACATACCATCTGACTCTTAACTCTGTGCATATTCAAACATCACATTTTAGCCCAGCATCTAGGAACTCTGAGGTTTCCATTTCTTCCTCTGTGTGTGTGTATGTGGGTGTCTGTGTGTGTAAATGTTTGTTATGAGTCTCACCTCCCACTTCCAGAGTTATACAAAAAGGTCCACCCTTTTGCCTGCTTTTATGATAGCCCAGAGTAGCATGGACCTCCCAGGCCTCCTGTGTGGTCTGTCCTCTGAGTGGTGGGGTCAAAGGTGTTGGTTCACCACAGATGTCCTTGTAGAAAATCTGAATTGTGTTGAATGTTATGTAATTTGCATCTGTTTATATAACTGCCCTTCTGCTGAGCCACGCCCTCAGCCCCTCATTGGCAGATTCTCAGAAATTACTTAACTCTACCGCTTAGCTATATCTCATCCCCTCACTAGGGGATTTTAGACAAGTACTCTACCTCTGATCCAGTTGGGTTCTCTTGGAAGAAAACCATGAGGTGTCTTGATCAGAGAACGTGGAGCCCTAGAATTGTAACTGCTGGTTTTCTGTTCTGTGTTGGAGGGCGTGGACCCCGCTAAGGGAGGCACTGACCTTGCCCTAGGCTTTCACGTTAGAGACCCGTGCTTTTGCTGTGTCTCTCTAGTGTGTGAAGGCTCTGGTCTACTATGATGTCCAGGCCTGCAGACTGGACATTGGGAACGAGAAAGGAGACACAGCCCTGCACATCGCTGCACGCTGGGGTTACGAGGGCGTCATAGAGACGCTGCTGCAGAATGGAGCCCCCACAGCCATCCAGAACAGGCTGAAAGAAACGCCGCTCAAGTGTGCGCTGAACTCCAAGGTAGCGTGCTCTACCCGAGCAGCCGTGTGGCCCTAAAAAAAAACCCTGCCCGCAGACTGGCCTTCCCGAGGACACCTTAAAGCCTTCCTTAGCACCCCAGGACAGAACTTGGCCTCCATCCTTCCGTTATACTTTGACGAGGTTGTGAGCAGGCTTTCCTTTTAGAGAGTTTCAGTATTGTTAGTGGTTTTTCTCAGTGTTGTGAGCTGCTTCCAGCAGCAACGGCTCTGGCCTCTGAGCGCTAGGCCTATAGCAGCCATCGGACTGCCTGAACCAGGCCCCGTGGCTTCGGAGAAGCGACGTGAAAGCAAGTGGAGGTCACAACACCGCAGACACAAGCACTGTTTTCTCTCTTCATCTCTGCTTCTTGAAACTTCATTTTAATTTGGCCCAAAATTGAATGAATGAACTAGGTAAGTTAGAGACTGAGTCTCAGGATTTAGTCCAGGCTAGCTTTGAACCCACAGCAATTCTCCAGCCTCAGTTTCCTGAGGACTGGGATTACAGGCCTGGCACCATCGTGCCTCTGAACTTGGTCTCATTAAGAATGGGAGGAAGTTGTGGGTTTCTCTCTGTCCAAGGGTGTGAAGAGTTTGCAGGACGTAAGGCTTTTTTTTTTTTTTTTTTTATTAAAAAGACTTGTTTTATCATTTTAAATTTGTATTTATTTTTAAATGGAAGATACTTCTTTCAAAAATTAACTTATTTTAAAGTTTATGTGTGTCTGTGTGTAATTGTATTCTTGGGGGCCAGATAAATGGATCAGCTTCCCCGGGAGTAGAGTTACAGGCAGTTTTGAGCCCCTCAACATGGCTGCTGAGAATGGAACTCGGGTCCTCTGGCAGAGCCGTGAGGTCTTCCTGACTCCTGAGCCACCTCTCCAGCCCGGGAGATCCTTGCCGCTGTTAGACTTTCCAGCGATGTGAAAGTAAATGCAGTAGCAGAAACAGCACCGGACCTTGGCGTCCACCCTGGCAGTCATCCGTGGGAGGATCCCTCAAGCCCTGCTAAAGTTTATCTGTGCACAGTGATCAGCTCTAGAATATGCTGGGCCTCAAAGAGTCGATTTGGAGGGTTCTCTTTGATTACAAAAGGGGAAGTGGTTACTGGGGACGACAGGCTGACAGTTCCTTCCCGGGTCCAGCCTTACCAGTACGGTACAAACCGACATCCGGTGAAAACAAAGGCCGTTTTAAAAACGTGGGGACCTTCCCAACAGTTATCCTTAAATTTTAGCTTTTCTTCAAAAATATCACATTTAAAATTTCAACTTGGGTGTGAGCATGTGCGGGGCGGTGGCGGGGGTGTCAGACTTTGTCTCGATCTGACAGGGAGATCCCAGGGATGGAGCTCAGGTGGTCCAGCTTGGCAGCAAGTGCTCTTAACCTGCTGACCAGCCTCTCCAGGCCCCAGCGTTGGCTTTTTGATGGCTCCCAGGCCATCACCTCCGACCTCCCTGGCAGCAGGCATGCAGAGGATGCTAGGGACGCTGATGGCTTGTTGCAACCCCTCTCACTGGACGCCTTTTCCTGTCCTAGATTCTGTCCATCATGGAAGCTCATCACCCGTCACCTGAAAGGAGCCTGAGGCCTTCTGAGGTAGGTCTGGAAGTCCCTGCGTCCATGCCCACTGACACCACTGGAGCTTGGTACCTCTAGGCCTGACCTGTCTGTGACCATGCCCTTGTTCCTGTTGCCCGTCTGGCCTTCTCCCAGGTTCCTGCACGGTCCCCTGCACGCTCTGTGGATTCCGTCAGCCAGGGCTCCTCCACCTCCAGCTTTTCTTCCATCTCAGCGAGCTTCAGGCAAGAAGAGGTCAGAAAGGACGACCGGGAGGTGAGCCTCCCTGATGGGCAGGCCCTGGTGTCATGGTGCATGGTGAAGGCCTGGTCAGCTGACCGGAGCTGCCTGCCAGCCTGCAGCCTGCTGACCAGTTACAGGACAGTCTGTTCCTTCTACTCTGAGGTCAATGCCTTTGAGGTGCACCCAACCATGGGTCTGTGCTGTCTTTACCTTTTTTTTTTCCCCCTCCGTAGCAGTTTTTGCAATGTGTGAGTGTGAGAAAAAGAGAGGAGTAGGGGCCACATACAGAAAGAGAAAGAGACACAGATAGGGGGCCGGTTGTGGTCAGTCCTTTGTTGTTGTTGGATACAAAGTTTCTCTGTGTAGTCTTGCTATCCTAGAACTCACTTTGTAGACCAGGCTAACCTCCCAACTCACAGAGATCCTCCTGCTTCTGCTTCCCCAGTCCTGGGGTTAAAGGCCTGCTCCACAGTGCCTGGCTTAGTGCCTGGCTTTTCTTTCGTTCTTAATGCTTGTTCAATATCAGTGCAACCAATCCAGCTTATCCTTCAGCAGAGGTGTAGACCATTATCTCACGGTTCCTCTGCTCCTCTGTGGGGTTACTGACCACCCGAGTGGGGTCATTCCCCTCCCTTACAACATTCTCCCGGAGTGGGCATCCAGTGAGCTCCAGTGCAGAGTCAGAGAAAGGAGAGCCAGCGTGTGTGCAGACAGGGCACCCAGAGGCCTCTGTTGTTCTTGGGGAGGGTACCTAAGCCCTTAGCCGGCTCACCCAGTAGACTGTGAGAGTTGAGTATGTGAATGGGGTAGCTGGCTTCTCCGGAAGTGCTCCTGACCTGCTCCTGACCTGGGCCTGGCTCCCAGATACCTATTGTCTTGGCTACTTAGGAGGGTGGGGCGGCAAGACCACGACAAGAGGTTTGCTTGGGTTCAGGGCTTAGCCTGAACAGCTTAGTAAGACTCTGTCCTGAAGTACGAAGTAAAATGGGTAGAGAGCTGGGCGCAGTCGGTGATCCCAGCACCCGGGGAGGCAGAGGCAGGCGGATCTCCGTGCTTTCGAGGGCAACCTGGTCTACAGAGCAAGTCCAGAATAGCCAGGGCTAAAGCACGTGCCTAGAACGCACAAAGCTGTATGACCTGTTCTTGGTACCAGCAGACAAAAAGAAGAAAGCCCTCCTGTGTTGGTTTTTCACCTCCAGATAGCCAGCAGCTCCGGTTTCTGTTAGGCGGGAGCGGGTTCTGTGCAGCTTTCAGAATGTTCTAGAACAGTTTTGGGGCTACGTTTGAAAGGTGCTTCGTGTGACCACCAGACAGAAGGCTGCTGCTGCCTCCCTGACTTGCTGTTTCCTTCCGTTAAGGTAGAAAAGCTTCTAAGAGCAGTTGCTGATGGAGATCTAGAGATGGTGAGTTTTTCGGAGAGCATCTCTCTCACAGCTGTGACTAGGTACCAGACGCTCATAACTGACGGGCGAGGGGGTTTGTCTCACAGTCTCCTAGTTCAGCCCACCGCTGCCGAGTCGGCGTGGTCGGGGGGAGCCGCCGCTCTCCACATGGGGTGGGCCAGGAAGCAAAGGGGAACCAGAGACAGCCACGGCTGGGTGGGACCCGCAAAGAGGTGACTTCACCGTCAGCCTGACCTCCTCACGCTGGCCTAAGGCCTGGTTCTCACCCTGACTTGGGATCTGAGCTGCCTGGTTTTGTGGTTGGCACCCCAGGATAGGATCTGGAAGGGCCATGCGCACAGGAGACACTGATGGGATTCCCCCAAGCTCTGTCCTCCCTGCAGGCTTATGCTGACCCCTGAACGCAGTGATGCTGACGAATACATGTCCGAGGCTGCTCTTTTCTCAAATGAGCTGTTACTGAGCGTTTTGGGGAGAGGGGCTTCCTGCATAGTTCAGGCTGGCCTTGAACTCACGGTCCTCTTGCCTCAGCCTCCCGAGTGCCAGGATTGCAGGTGTGGGCGACCACATGCGCTATCTTCTCAAGTTTCAGGGCTTAGCATTATTTGGTACTGGAACCCACGCACGCCCTGTCTGGGGGTTTCTTTGCTTTCACCCCACGTGCTGGCGTGTGGCGGTGGCAGGAAGCTGGTGTGCGGTCAGGGGTCCTGGGGCGCTGTGGATCACAGCCGCTGAGCACTCATCACAGGTTTTCTGTTGGGTGACAAGGGAGGCCGACCTGGTTAGGTGGCGTAGGAGTGTGGACTCCGGGGACAGGGCCTGAAAGCCCGTAAGCCGCCAAGCAGCTTCAGTCCGCCCCTCTTAGGATGGACGAACACTGGTATGCTGGAAATGACACATCAGCCCCTTGTGCTGCCTGGGGGAGGCGCAGGCTTATTGTTGGGAGGCAAATGTTTTCTGTCAGTGGCAGCAGTGGCCCAAGGAGCTGATTTGGGAAGCCGTGTGCTCTTGGATGCGTGCGTTCGTGGGTGTATATGGCTCACTTGCTCACCTGAGCTCCGGGTAAAGGCGTCAGACTAATGGGGTCCCCATTTGTCCTCACTGTCTGCCACCAGGTGCGCTACCTTTTGGAGTGGACGGAGGATGACCTAGATGATATGGACGAGGCCATCAGCACGGTGGATCATGAGTTCTGCCACCCCTTGTGCCAATGCCCCAAGTGTGCTCCAGCCCAGAAGGTCTGGCTCGGCCTGTGTCGGGGGTGGGGGAGTGGGGGAAGGTACATTCTTTCTGCCTAGGATGTCCTTGCTTTCAGTACTTCCTGAGTGAGTGCTCACGGGGGTGGGGGGATCAGTCAGGTGAGGGTAGAGAGCATCTTCCCTTCTTTGGTCGTTTTTAACCCACCTGTTGTTTATTTATTTTATTTACTCATTTTTGAGACAAAGTCTCACCATGTGTCCCTGACTGGAAGTCATTATGTAGACGAGGCTGGCCTCGAACTCACAGAGCCATGCCTGCCTCAGACTCACGGGTGCTGGGATTGAGAGCATGCCCCAACACGCTGGGCTCTACTTTTATGCACATGAGAATTTTGTCTGCGTGTGCATCGATGCTCCACGGGTGTGCAGTACCCATGGAGCCCAGGAGAGGGCATCAGATGCCCTAGGAACTGGAGTTACAGGTGGTTCTGAGCTGCCGCATGGGTGCTGGGAACGGAACTCGGGTCCTCTGAAAGAGCTCTTTAACTGCTGTGACGTCTCTCCAGCCCTCTTTTATTTATTTATTTATTTATTTATTTATTTATTTATTTATTTATTTAGTTTTTGGGCTGTGATTTACATATAGTAAGATCCAACTTTTAACTCACACGGTTTAGTGTTCGTTCTCAATGAGATGCTCCACAGAGCAGTTTTGATTGCTCGTTCTCTGCTCAGCATGGTTTTCAAATTACCAGGGATTTAAAAAGAAGGTGACGTGGGGAGGTGATTCTCGGACTTCAGGAGGTTTGGCAAACACGGAGGCGATCCGTTTAATGTCAGGCTGGCTTCAAACTCATGTTGTCGTTAAGGAAGACCTTGAACCCCTGACCTTCCTCCTTTACCCAGGCGCCTGAGAGCTGAGGGGGAGCAGGGAGGTGCTTCCCAGCACCACGGAGGCTAGCCTAACTACTGACACATTTACCCACTCCCTGTGCCTTCACTAGAAACTGGCAAGGGTTCCTGCCAGCGGGCTTGGTGTGAATGTGACCAACCAGGATGGCTTCTCCCCTCTGCATATGGCTGCCTTGCATGGCCGGACAGAGCTCGTGCCCCTTCTGCTGAAGCACGGTGCCTACTCGGGGGCCAGAAACTCCAGCCGAGCTGTCCCACTCCACCTGGCCTGCCAGCAGGGGCACTTTCAGGTACGGCTCCCATCTCCTGGGCAACAGAGGAGGGGGTTGGTTTTGGCATGAACCTCTCTGGGGCAGTACTAGGGGAAGTCCAGGGGACAGAGGATTTTTTTCCTTCCACCGTGAACCCTGA